ATTCATAAGTACCAAATTTATATGTGAGCCATTTAAAGGCTAATTCAATTAAATATTCAACACTGAGAATAAAGAATGCCTTAAAATTAGAAGTTTATTCTGGGACAGCAGTTCTTAACTATTTGAGGATCTCTCAGAATAAAGTAAAAGCTATGATGGACCCACACTACAGAAGAATACCTACATAAAAACATTTTATACATATCAAAAGATTTATGAAATGTTTCCACAAGTCCTCTAGGGATCCATGCACCAAAGTTAAGAATTCCTGTTTAAAGGCTTACTTTAAATTTTACCATCAATATTTTATTATAGTTAAAATAAATCAAAGGATTAAAATTAAGGCAAGTTGCCTTATTTGGCCCAATTTTAAGTGTTTATTTAATTTAGTAGTATTTTCAACACTACACAAAATTTAAAGAATGCAATAAACAAGTTTATAGTCATCAATTAATACTTTGCGAAGTCTTTTCATCTGTCTCCTACTATATCCATGTCTGACTGTCCATACTTTTATCTATTCATATACTTGTATCTATATCTATCCATCTACCTTTCTATTTATATATTTGCATCTACAACTGTATCCAGCTGTCATCTGTATGTCTATACAATTTTTTACCTGTCCATCTGCCTGTAGACTTGTATCTGTAACTACTATTCATTCCTCTCTCCAGTCATATACTTGTATCTATATCTGTGTCAACACATTCATACATGTACTCATTCATCCACTCATTGGATGGATCCATGCAATGGATCATTTACTTGTTTGGTTTTTTTTTTTGGAACCCGGAATTAAACTTATGACTTCACACTTGCAAGGCAGGTGCTGTGCCACTGAGCTGTATCTCCAGCCCAGGATAGAACATTTAAATGTATCTTTTAGATATCCTAACACTTTACTCCAATATTTAAGTATGAATCATCTAAGAACAAAGACATTTTCCTACATAACCATAAGACAATTATCACATTATCAAGTCCAAGAAATTAAACATTGATTCAGTCTTATTATACATATGGTACATATTAAGCACTGAGTCCAATAATAACTTATGCTGCCATGTATAAGGTTCAAGGCCTAATCAGTGTGCACAGACTGTTCCTGGCCATTTCTCCAAGAAGCCCTGCTTCCTTCTGGTAGAAAATAATGTCTAAAAACACACATCTGAAAGCTGGATACTCATTATTCTCAGGTCCACTCAGTGGAAAGAGCCAGGGAATTTAAAACAAAACTGTTATTTATACTGACTCTTTAAAGCAAACTGATTTTTGAGACATTCTTTAAAAATATTGCCATACAATAACTTGTGAAAGTCCTTCATTATTCATAAATTCAACTGAATTCATACTAAACAATGACCTATGGCAATAATTCATTTTTCAGAACAGGAAACCTTAGTGGGATGATGGGAGCAATCGCAGCCCTGTGATCTTGTAGAAGTGAGTCCATAAGAGGTAACAGCACCAAAGAACTGGGGAGGGTCCCCTAGATGCTCAGGGAATTACTCTCCTGAGGATGTCAGAGGCAGCTTTATCAGACAGCATTTCTGAAGATATGTTACAAATGCAAACTTTGACAGAAAATTCTTTGATTTTTAAAAGTGTCATACACTTCTAAAACAGCCGCAGGGTGAATGCTGCCCCTAGTTTGTGACCTATAGTAAGTTAATTATAAACCAAAGTGCCCACTAAGTATAAAGCGAACTCAAGTAAGACTCATAAAATTTGACCCATCTATTCCTCCACAGAACTTTTTGTATCTACTGAATGCAAAACCTTATGCTGTGTGTATTTATCACTTAAGATTCAATGGTTTCAAACATTCTTTGAGTGGTATTTTTGTGGCACATTTCCCTGCAGCCTACACCCTACAGGGAGGCCCCCACAGCCGCACCCTACATGATTTTTCTCCACAGCACTCACACTAACTGTTGGATGCACACATGGAGGCTGGCCTTCCCTGTAGTTTACTACTATGCACGACTGTTACACAATCCATTGCAATTCCTTTAGAAGGTACATACCAGCTGATGAACAACAGAAAACACAGACTGCTGGCAGGCATTACCTGTGTCCATAGCCCACCTCTCCTTACCCACAACTCCTGGAACCCCGCCTTACCTATTTTACTTTTAATTTATATGGGATGGTTTCTAAGTTCCTTCCCTGTTTTGATTTGTATCTGGACTTCTGACCTCAGCTGTTGACACAGAGAGCTATACAGAGCCGTAAAAATCATATGTGACCTTGGCATTATTAACTTTTTATTTTCAGTATGGCTAGAACACACAGGGCCAAGAGAAAAAGAAAGAGTTTGCACTGAAAGTCCATTGATGGTAATCAATGCTTCTATTCATAAAGTATCAGTACAGAGAATATTACTTTATCGGTTTTGTAATTTATCTTGTTTGCAACATACTATACAGCTTACTCGTGGCTTCTAAAGATACTGTTAGAACTAGTTCTTCAATATTTAGATCAAAATCCAATAAAGAAAAAAAAATCAAGCATGTACCATAAAAAAGACACATACAACCCACAAAGGAACCAAAGACGGGAGACCTTGTCTTCAGGATACTTAGGCAATGGGAGGCCCACTGCTGAGTTTTGAATGAAAACCTGAAAGAGAATAGCAAGGAAAGTGTATCCACCACGCAGCAATAAGATGGGGAAGGGCTGAGTCCAAGGCCATCCTCTCCCACTCTTATCTGCAGAACCGAGGGAACACGCCCCAGGTGGCACCTCCGCCAGCACCACACTGCAGGGCCTTTCTTTCCCCAAGATTCTGACCAAAGAGCAAAGACTAATTTAAACATCGCAATGAGGAGGAAGAGAAAGAAGTTCTAACATGCCTTTAAAGAAATAGGAATTGCCTGCTGTCCCCCTAGGCTAAGGGGATTGAGCTCTGGTAGGTGATCTGCACTTGGGGGAGCAGAGAAGTAAAAACACACCCCCCTGACAGAAGCCTAACCTACCAACAGCTGTCCGGAGGAACTACGCACTGGCAAAAGTTGATTTCTCAAGAGAAGGTGAAATCTTATAATTTCTAAATATAGCAATTTTCTCCCTAATAAAAATGCATACATATGACCCCCCAAAATAGATATAAAATGTTGACAGGAGTTCTTCAAAAGTTAATCATATACTGGTACTCAAGTGCTTTGAAACTTGTTGAATTTGGTACCTGACAAATTTTGGTACAAAAATTTTGTCTCAGTACTCATCGTTTCTCTGGAATTCGACATTCAAGAGAGAACACGTAGGTATCAGTGGCCTTGTGACTCACTAACCGCCCCAGGCAAGATAATCTATTTGGCATTCACCATTTTTGGTAGTTGCTGCACTAAATGCCAAAGTAACATTACATAAGCAATTTGTGGTACATTTCTATAGCAAAATTTTGTATGGCACGATAAATGAACTACTTGCTAACCGCAATAGCAAGGGCAGCTCTTGAAAACATAATGCGGGGTGAAAAAAGTAAGACACAAGAGAGAGGTGACAGTATGATTCCATTTATATAAAGTTCAGGGAACAACCTGTGGTGCTGAAGTCCCTAAGGAGGATAAGTAAGGATTGGGGAAATGCTGGGGTTTTCTGGAGCATGGATGAGTCTGTGAGAATTCATGAATTTGTAACATTACAATATCTTTATAATATGCACTCGAGAAAAGGTTAAAAAGCAAAATATTGTGTAGGACAAACCGAATTTTACCCGAGTTCCCTGTAAATGACAATCCTGTGATTGCAGATGCTGGATGCTGTGGGAGGGACACAACCCAGTCCATACCTTCATTCTGCTCCCAATTTATCAAGTTAACAGATACACTGCAGTTAAAATGTAAGAGAATAAGTGAGAACACAGCATTCTGACCCAGCTAGGTCAGCAGCCACCCCCTCGGGCGCTGGAGGCTGAAGCAGCACCTGAGCCGGAAGGAGGGCCAGCAGTACAGGAGCGCAGAGGTGACTGCTATGATCAGACTCGTGGCCCAGGGACCAGTGTTTTATTTATGTGGGGGGAAGATGAGCACACAGGCTAGCTGCTGCACATATGAGACACAAGTGTTCTCTCTGTGGGTGTAGCTGATTCACTTTCTACAATCTGGGACTCTTAAGAGTAGGCACAACAGAGGATCAGATTCTTTATAAAAGGACAGTTCTGCTAATCCATAAAAATGCTTTCTGAAAATAGGCTGGCTCTAAATCCACGCAATCATCAGGTGATCTACAGGGGTCACCCACACCCCTGGGTCTTTGTCCCTAGCATACCACAAATATCCCCTCTTAAACGACTAGGTCCTAGTGGATGTGGGAATCGGGCAGTCTCCTGCAGTGAGAGGAAAATGAGGCACAGAAAATGATGCTCTTCTCAGACAACGCATTTTCACTACTCTTCGGTCCCCTCAACAGCCACAAAGGCACAGCCAAGCCTCTCACACTGGGAAAGTGACACTGGTTCTAGAAGTAGTCACCTGGCTGCATAAGTCTTTCAATATCACACCACATGCTGTGCCAGGCAGCAGCTTTCAGGCTCTGATCTGCAGTTCCCTGAAACACCATGGCAGGGTTGAGAGCTTTTGAAAAACAAGTCTTGAGACAGATGCTTAATGTAATAACTTTGGTCATTAGGAGGCAACAAAAACACAGTTCCTCTCTCAGGTATGTTAGAGTTTGGGCTTAAACTTCTGTACTGTTGGGATTCTGTACCAAGAGTGATAAATACCTTATGACTTCATTCAGGGTGACTTCTGAAATGGTAATTTTTAAGTGTTTGTTCACTTGTAAATAATTCACTTGTAATTTGTAAATTTCATAAGGTATTTTTTTTCAAATCAGGTACTTCTTGAGGAACTTTTACTACAATTTTAATGGCCAGTTGCATGCATTATTAAACTCTTCTTTTTCCTTCCAAATCTTCCAGTAGACGTCTAGAGTTTAGCTAGAAGTTTTGGCTCCGGTACAAACAGTGATGGAAAACATATGAGCAGTAACAAGTTTTAATCTCGCTCCTCAGTACTAACATGGACTAATCTGTGGAAGCAGTTTATTCCAGTGGCACCCAGGGTGCAGCCACACAAGGGGCTGTGTTACAGGGTGTTTTTTCTTATAAATGAGGCACCTTTTCCTCGTTGCTTCTTAAACACTGTCTGAGAACATTTACCTTATAGATAAATAGTACAGGGTGGATAAATTCTACTTGCAAGAGAACTACTCCCTTCTGACAAGGTATGTTTTCACGTCTGTCTTACATGTGCCAGGGTAGAATGCTTTTATAGTGAACTCTAAGGAGACACTAATGTGATCAGTAAATGTTTGTAAATAATATGGTAAAGCTGAAAGCTTTTCTCTATAGTTTCTAAAAAATCAATATTTGCAACATTAGTTTGCAGCTAAAATTACTCTAGTTTTGTGCCTTGTACTTAATAAATTTTAAACATAATTATGTGCTTTTTAAAAAGCTAAATGAAAATTTGTTATGTTTTACTAGAAATGCTAACATGGTTGATTTTTAAAATCATTTGATAGACATGTTCTTTCAGGAAAACAACATTTAAAAACTACTGATAATGAAATCTAGAATATTACAGATATAGTAAATGAAACAATAAATATTTATTTAAAAGCCTAAAACTATGATATTTTCTAATATATTTTAAAAATATTTGTATTATCAAAATGTCATTTTTATTTACAAATATGAATGTATTTTTTCTTGGTAAACTGATTTAGGCAATGAAATGTTAATAGTTAAAATAGAAATCTACATAATTCCAGGAAAAAATTTAACCATTTCCATATTTCATGCGAAAGGTTACAGACTTCTTTTAGTAAAATCCAGTGAGAATTTAACACATAGAAGTATTTCCTCCATCCTCTTCCAAAGCAAAATTTTTATTAAATCTTTAATAAAATATTAAGCAATGTATTCAGGAGCCTGTTCCCTGGAGCACAGCATACTTCATGCTCATCTGTTCAGAGGTGTGGCAGGCGGAAGACAGCCCTGTGCTGCTGGGACTGAGTCACAGAGAACCTGAGGGGTTTCATCACTCTAAAAATAAAGTAGTCTTACCTCCCATTATTTGGAAGGCAGGCAGGCAGGCAGGCAGGCAGGCAGGCGGGAGGGAGGAGAGGGAGAGAGAGAGAGAGAACACACAAAAGCATTCTGATGTTTTTAGTTTGTTTTGGGCATTAAGCAATATAGCGTGGGAGTGGGAAGAAAGGAATTATATGGTCTTTTGTATCTTCTAGCCATTATATTAAAATTGACTATTGTGATACCTGATTCAAGATTTGAGACAAAAGTGATTAACTTTATAAGCACAAGTGTTAAAGCATTGCAGGAAATCTAATGTTGGAGAACCTGGAGCTTTTTGTTTTTTAAATACCAGCTAGGCAGTAGACAGATTTTTTTAAATGGTGGCGGGGAGAAGGGGGACGGACCTAAAACCAAATCTAATATACAAGGAAAAGTAGACCAAAATTCTTTAATCAGAATGTTATTCACACTTCTAAGGTAAAATTAATTATTTCTCAAAATGTTGTTTCAAAAGGATCAGTGAACAAATGGTGCTGTAAATCAGCTTCCAAGTGCGCGCTTGGACTTCTGCTGCTTCACAAGGGCGTGCCCTTGTCATGCCTGCATGTAGTCTGCAAGCTTCCCGTGACATGTTCTGTCACATTTGCACACTGAATCCTGCAAGTGGTACCTGCATTTCAGGCAGAAGGAAAAGCTGCCGTGTGGACCTTTAAATCAGGATTTTAAAAGCACGCAGACTTATTTACCTAATATAGTCTGACAGGAAATACCATCTCACTTAGACAGATTTTCCATTCCAAGTTTGTGAGCTAGTGAAGTGGTAAAAGAGAAGCTTATACACTTAGCTGCATCAAGTCCTGTTAGGAACATTTAGGAAAACCCGGCTGTCTCCTCCAGAGAAAGTCTGTTTACCATCCAGAAGAACCAGGAGCTGAGGATCAGACAGAGAGGCTGTGAGCACAGGGGAAGCGCCACCAGCAAGGAGCGAGAAAGCGCTTCAGCTCTGCGGCTCCAGGGGTTTCTGGGAGCCGAAGCCTCAGCTTCTTCCTCTATAAAGAGAGTGCCCTGGGAGGAATGTCTCAGGGGCCTCTCTGCGCTTTCATGGGCCATGATTTATTAGGAATAGCAGCAGCCCTGGAATAATATTCCAAATAGTCTTCTGAGTCAGAGAAACTTCATTCCCAAATCCAGAGCATCCTGTGAGTAGAAAACACTGGCAAAACTGTTCTAAATCAGGGAAATATTGAGTCTTCCTGAGAACAAGACATAAATATTTTTTGAAGTTTTAAAAATAGCACAGTCAGAATACTGCCAAAACTAATAAAATTGAGTTGGAACCATATTAAAAAGTTAAATTTTAAAATAAAGCAAAAAGGCCTATCATGTAAAATAGCAAACAGTTAATAATCCATTCAGTCTCTATTCTTGCTGCATAGTAAGAAAAAGCACTGCTATATAATGTTCCCTTCCAGACATTCTAGCCTTTATCCCTTTGTAAACAATTGCGCAGTAGCACAGGAAGAGGGGTGGGGCTCACACTGGGGTTCACCCCGCTGGTGGCAGAGACTCAGCCCTGTCAGACAAAATGCGAATGGTCAAGTCCTCAAGGAACCAAGGCTGGCCTCACTCTTCAGTCTCAAAACGAAGACTCTGCTAGCAGCCATAGCTGGGCAGCAGTGCACAACAGCACTGGAGGTGGTATGTTCCCCACGAGTGCTTTCACTAGAGCTATTCAAGACCGGTGGGCCAAAGTGTTCTGGAACCTTCGCCACCAGCAAGGGCTTTCAACTAACTGGCAGGCCCAGCTGGCACAGGGAGGGGGCCCATCTACCCCACACTCATCAGCAACTGCAGGGCTGCCCCATCCTAAAGCTAGCAGGCAGAAGACTTGGTTTCCTATTTTCATCTTACTTCAGCTTTGAACAAAGGCAGGGAGGCTTTCATGAAATCTGTCGGCCAAAGAAAAAGACAGAGAAGTGGAGGAATCCTGCCATATGTTCTGGGGACCCGTGGTGGTGGGAAGACGTGGAGAAGAAGCACTGTTCTGCTTGTATGCTCTCATCATCCTCTCTGCTCCTCAGCCCGAGGCTCCCGCCTGCACAGGGCGAGCTGTTCCTGAGCCGTGAAGCGACATGGCTAAACAAATCTTGTGGCCTCAGCATGTGCTGTGCACAGCAGCAAAGTCAGCCCTCACTCCGGCTGCCAGGCTGCAAGGAAAACCAACATGTATTTCTGGCACCCACGCTGGAACACTAACACATTCCCTTTGTTACTCATGATTTTTTTAGGTTCCACAGTCTTTTCTTAGCACTGTATTGCAGATACAGTATGTGTTAGCTTTTTCTGTTCTACCCCTCAAAGCTAAAGCCCATACAGCTCAAAGTTTCTATGAGAAAACGCTTAACCAACCACTTGAAAAAGAAATCATTAAAATCTTCACTTCCTATAGGCCAAAACATGGGGTTAGTCCTCAAGAAATTGTAGATTCCAAAACAGTTTCCTGTGCAGATGTCTTTGTTTGACATTTAGGGCAAATAGACGAGAATAGCTTACATTAGAAACTTTTAGTTTTACCATTTGTGGTATCAACTAAACATTAAAGAAGGGGTAGGAAAAGGCTGAAGTACCTATGTAGGACCAACGTAAGGAAAGATTTGTTGGCAGACTGATACTTAAAATATTTTAAAGCAACATAATTTTAAAAGCTAGGCACAAAAAGGAAAAAAAAAAGCTCTACTTGTAATTTGACCATTGCTCGACCTGGGTACTATATACTCTGCATTTTTCATATGCATGTATGATTTTACAGATGTTTTTTGATTCTGGTGGTCTGAAACAATGAGTGAGGGTTACAAGGAGAAAAGAGACACATGGTAAAGAAAGTCACTTTCAAATCTCTGGAGACCCACGTGTAATGTCAAAAATCACCTCACTTGTAGAGCCAATGTATACAGCTGACATTGTCTTTTACCATTCCATTTACTAATTTGGGCTTTTTATTCTTAGTTTCCTATCCGTATACCTGATATTCAAATGTTAACATTAATAACCCATAGTAATCTGGGAGCAGCTGATTAGGAGTTGTGGCTATGTTTTGCGTATGGAGGCGCAAGGATGGGGAAGGAGATGTGCTCCGTCTACCATTCAGCACCCTGACACCACGCCTGGCCACGGTGGGTGCTTAGGAAGTGCTCCTTCACTCACTCCAGCAACCTCGAACTAAGCCAGACAGGACTTCAAATGACCCTAACCTTAAGTGCCTCATAGCCAAGGCCATGTATTAACTGCTCACTGGAAGAATGAACTAAAATTTGTAAACAATGAAGAATAAACTGGAATCAAGAATAAGATGTGATTCAGCTGAGGACCAAGAACTGAGTTTCTAGGGAAAGAGTATTTTGGTGATTGAACAAAAGCTGGGTACTAAACACTGAAGAGCCAGACCCCAGGGAGTCTCTGAGGTCAAAAAGCACAGGTAGGCAGGCAGCTGAGAGGCTGAGACAAGAGCACAGGGTCACTGAAAGTGAAGTCCAGGTGACCCTCACCATGACCCACACCAGAATTTCCAGAATGACCAGCAGGGAGGCCCCCAGTGGCTACAGGAAGGCAGCCACCACAGCAGGTTAATTTCCACCACCAGGAATTGTTCTCAGCAGGATCTCTCACCTGCAGGAACAAAGCTTACCACACACCCATTCCATGCCAGGCCCTTCCCAGCCAAAATCTGGTACACAGGTGCCCCTTTTTACACAGACGTATGAAGGTCAGCAATTTATAGTCTGTTTTAAAAAGAAAAAATGATAGTATATGCCTGCGAGCTACTAGATTTCTGGACTAGAGAACTGAGCCCTTCCATGGGGGTGACTCATCAGGTAGAGCCGAACAGAGAGCCAGAACACAGGAGAAGTAGCTCTGGTTCCGTTTCTGCTTGGTTGGTGACCCTAGGAGAAGTCATCAAGACCGTTGCACCCCATTTCCTCTTATGAGGGAAGAGTGCAGAATAAGTTCTAAGTTAATACCTCCAAAGGAGGCACAGGTGGGAGACCTTTTAAAATACTATTCAGGATAAGATCTCTAAACTAGAAAAAGTTTTTGTCATTTTCATATATATCCTGTAATCCCTTTCCTATGACAGAGATATCAGACATATTTCGCCAGCTATCTAGTGTCAAATGGTCACCATTCAGAATTTTAGAGCATATAAAAAAATTACATAAAGTAATTAGTAGGTTAATAACTAAAAGGTAGGATTTTTTAAAACTGTTCTGGTGATTGAAACAGACATGTCACATATAAATTTGTATGTCAATTCATCCATCTGTTTACTTCTTATTCTTAAATCAAGGAAAAACCATGCCCATGGGGAGATGTTCAAGCAGGTTTCTGGCAAACAGTAACCAGCAGGACAACTCAAGGGTCAGGGCGGTAGGCTTGCCTGACACTGGCCCAACCCTGATGGATCAGAAGGCTCGCTCAGTCATTGGTGGCATGCGAGCAATGCAGTCCTAATGCCCTGTCAGGGGGACTGCGACGGGGACACGGGAGGAATCCTCTGCTGTGGTCATGTGCAGGTGCCCTCCTGCCAGGACTTGTTCTCAACAACAGGCAGCTCTAGGATATGACAGTTTGGATTCCATAGTATTTTTAATTTCTGAAAATTCTTGAGAAAGTACAGGTTTCACAGGTGCTAACTAAGAAACTATGCTATGCAAATATACCTGTAGGAATACCTGTCATCAGATGGCAATGAATCTGTACCCTGAAAGTTTTCATTAGTACATTCCAGTTTTGCTGAATCTTTAAACGAACCAACATGTAAAAACAAGCCAGTCTCCATCACAAGCACACAATCAGACAGAAGCTGTGAAAAAATGAACAAAAAAGAGTCTGGACATGAGACAGTTTGGCCCAGACATCAGATGGTAGGACCAATTAGAAGGAAAAGATCCCAATGACATTGTGGAAAAAGTGAGCAACAATAACAGTGAGGCTGGAGAAGGCAGAGAGAGCTAAGCTAGGAAAAATGTGCACATCACCTCGGAGTGCCAAGAGTGTTCCTTTCAAAGGGACATCGGCATCAAGGCAATGAAAAGACTCAGGGAAAAGTTGAGTCTGATAATCTGTTTCTGCTTTTAGAAAAAGTTTTCTGATTGTAAAATTATGACTCATTGTAAAAATTAAAGAAAAAACACACCAGTCATCTGTAGATTCCACACTAAAGTTTATCGTTAATCGAACGTATTTGTGTACTTTTTGCATATTTCTAAGAGGGATTGATATTTTTACACACAATTTTATTGCACAAAAATAATATTGTCTGTTTTTAAGCATATTTGCAAATAGACTTTTGGGTTCCAAAGTATTTCATGGGACAAATACATCCTATTTTATCTTATAATTCTGTTTTAATTACTGGACTTATGTGTCATTTTTTCTATTATAAATAATTGTCTGATGAACAACTTTGTGCGCTAAGAATTATTTCCTGAGACTAGATTCCAAAAATTAGAATCAGTGAATGACAAAGATAGGTTTAAAACTCTTAAAGCATACTATACTGCTGAACTGCTTTAAAAAAAAAATATGGAACTTTCCTCCTATACTATTCACGAATGGCTAAGATGCTATTACACTGTACTCTTGCCAGCGTCGAGATGTAAGCTGCAGAAACTGTCTGTGTAAACTCTGACTTAACACCCAGTGTCTGTTTAGTCCTAGACCAGCCTTCTACACAGACAGCATGAAAGAGTTCGTGCTCTTGCTGCTCTTGGCTGCGTGCTCCGCCAAACCCTTCCTCAGCCCTTCCCACGTGACGCTGAAGAATTTAATGCTGAAGGATATGGAAGACACAGATGACGACGACGACGACGATGACGAGGACGACAACTCTCTTTTTCCAACAAAAGAGCCAATAAGCCCATTTTTCCCATTTGATCTGTTCCCGACATGTCCGTTTGGATGCCAGTGTTACTCACGGGTTGTGCACTGCTCTGATCTAGGTAAGCGCATAAATCAACTTTGCTTTTACCCCCAAATTGCTATTCTGACTAAATAAAGATAGGAAAAGTCATGAAGAAATTTAAAAATCTTCTCAATGATTATAAAAATTTTTTTTCCTTTAGAAGTTTATGTGGGAGCTGGGTGTCATGGTGCACGCCTATAGTCGCAGCTACCCGAGGCTGAGGCAGGAGGATAGCAGTTCAAGGTCTGTCTGAAATGGAGCTGCCTTACTACAAGAAAAATAAGCAGGCAGAGGTAGAATGCATACCTGAGGCCTTGAACTGCATTCCCAGCACTGCGACATATATACATGAATATTTAAGTGGAGACCACATTAAACTGCAAAGCATTCACATTTATTTCAAAAACTCAGAACAGAGGAAAACTGGAGCTTTTACAGAAAAGACATTTTTTTGCTTTCCAAAATTAAATTGAAGTGCTTCATTTTCATGATCTTCACCGCATTACATCTTAGTGTGTCAGCAGGTCAGACTTTTCAGTAAAATTCTACGGTAAGAAAATAAAGTGCCTGCCCAGAACAATGAAATCTGTTATACGGAATTGTGATATCTTTTTGGACATTTAAAAGCTAATGTAAACTGGGCATGGTGGCACATACCTGTAATTCCAGCTCTTGGGAGAGTAAGGCAGGAGGATTGCAGGAGGACCACTGTTGAGTTCAAGGTCAGCCTGGACTACATAGTGAGCTCAAGGCCAGAACCCAACCTCAAAAAAAAAAAGGAATGTGCTATTTGTTTTGAAGAGGCTGAACTATCAGGTGTCTTTAAATTTATAACTCTGCTTAGTAGCTTATTTTTTAACTATCTCTGATGAAGAGCACACTCAGCCCTGCTTATAGAGATGCAAGGAATGGGATTACACACCAAGAAGTGGGTTTTGCTGTGTCCAACAAAGGAGACACTGAGACTTGCCCTCCTCTGCAGGCCGGGGCCTGGCCCTGGCTGCCCATCCGGCTGATGGCCCATCAGCACTGCCCTGAGTCTACCTGAGAGGGTGGCACAAACACCATATGGGCTGCATGACATGGGCATGACAGGGTCTGGATGCTCGTCACTCCTCCCCAAGAAACAAAACCCTCTGCAGAGCTCGCTGCACAGAGGCGGAGCTGGGGCAAATCCTTCCCACCATGCAGAATCTTTCTTAAAAAAACCTCCATCTTCCCACAGGACTTACCTTTTCTAAAACCTAAATAATCTCTTTTATATACAAAGACGGCAAAATTAACCTATTGTGATAAAACTGACTCTACCTTTTAACTCAAGTTACTCCTTACTTCTTTTTCTTTTTTTGTTTTTTTCAAGTACTGGGGATTCAACTCACGACCCATGCTTGCCAGGCGGGTGCTTACACCACTGAGCTAAGTCCCCAGCACCTACTGTCCACTTCTTATCGATGATTCAACTTTTGAAAATCATTGCTAATTTTAAAGTATAGAAGGAAAAAATACTTAGGATAATACAGTAAAACTCAAAAGATTCAGCTTGTTAATGTAGGGACATTAAACGTACGATTATTTGTGGGGATTAAAGACAGTTCTACCAAAAGTGTGTAAATAGAGCTGGGCTGCAGGCTCAGCGAGGGAGCACTTTCCTAGCGTGTGCAAGATTCTGGATTCTTTGGTCAGCACTGAAGGAAAAAGAAGATGGCAAGTGTCTGCAGCTCCGTTGGAGATGCATCAAAGGGAGGAACTGAGAGGTGGACAGCAAGTCTGATACAGTAAGATGGTACAAAGTAAGTATGGAGAATACAGGTTTTCACTGTAAAATTCTTACAGCTTCCTAAACATTTTCATAATGAATGCTGGCAAAAAAACAAGAAGACCTCATGCTCATCGGGCATAACTGTTGCATGGAAAGTCCACCAATAAGCAGGAGGTGAGCATATGAATAAGCAGGAAGAGGGCCCAATGACCGCAGACTGGCTATCCATGGAGAGCATAACAAGGAAGGAAGAAGCACATTGCAGACAGCTCCTGACACAGCAGACACTTCCAGCTCGTCTGTTTCTATCCACGAGGGGGAGATACTGCAGGTCTTTTAGCCATGTAACTGATGTCTGAGTATTTACACAAAAAGAAATACGCAGTCATATCTCATTCTGAGATGACAGAAGACAGCTGTTTTCCATACTTGTACAGAGAGATGGGGACTAACAGGGACCTCCAGTACAGGGTAGGAAACCATGATCACCCCTGAATGTTGTGGCTGCTAAAAGTAAAGATGTTCTTTACGTTCGGATGCTAATAAAGAGAAACACAGGAATAAATACTTGTAAATCCAAATATTAGGATGAGTTGGGCACTGATCACTTCCAGGGATGGCACGAAGTTTTTGATAACGGACAAGAGAGTAATTTACCTGTTTTCTAAGTACAGTGTCTACATTTTGAGTCTTCTTAAAAACCATCAAGATTCTTATGCTTCCATTTCTCACTACCACAACCTGAAAAGCTGGGGCCAGGTCCCAGACAGACACCTTGCAAAAATGAGTTCCCTGAAAGGTCCTGAGGCTTTTCTGAAAACAGTGGTTGTGTCGTCTGCCACAACTACTAAGTTCTCTGTAACCTAATGAAAACCACGGATTTTAAAATATGTCTCTCTACAATATTAGTAATCAGTACAATGCTAGCTTGTAGCTGTGGATCTCCATCATACTAGGAATTGAGGCTTCTGTGGAATTCTCCAGTATCTGTAATATGTTTCTTTATTTCTCAGGTTTGACCTCAGTCCCAAGCAACATTCCACCTGATACGCGAATGATTGACCTTCAAAATAACAAAATTAAGGAAATCAAAGAAAACGACTTTAAAGGACTCACTTCACTTTATGTGAGAATCTATACTTTTATTTTCAAATGTTTGAGTGAAAAATCTATCATTGCTGAAAAGATTATATTGTTTTAGTGTCAACAAGTCTACTTTTCTATAGGTGAAATATGACATAAAATCCTTGCATTCATTGAGGTTTTAGTTGGTTAAAAATTACAGAATTTATCCAATTAATAATTTAATTCATTTGATATTTATTGAATAACAGCCAGGTTAAAGACATGAGGCTGAGAGTTTAATGGTGCTTAATGGGTTTATAATCAGGTAACAACAGTCACTGTACAGTAAAATAAACAAGAAAATATTTATAGCAGTCATTAGCACAGAGCAGTAATGATGAACCTTTTAAAGATCAAGTGCCCAAACTGTAACCCAAAATCCACTTATTTATGTGACAACACTGCAATAACACCTGCATACTGAGGTTTTAGTTAGAAAAACTCCTACATTAAACCTTTTATCTTAAAAACAAAAAATGTGCCATATGTTTGCCACTAGTATTCTAGTGGCATAGTACATACATATACTTAAAGCAACTAGAAGAGCATACATTTATTTTATAAGAGATACTTCACTTAACTATTAAGACAATCAGCAGTAACATAATAGATTCTACCAAGGGTTCATTGAGCTTACCCCACTAACTTCAGATCACAGAAAGTTTTGGAGAACTGTGAGACTTTATTCTACCATTACAGGTCAAAAATAAAAAAACATATGTGTGCATGCACATAGATATATGCACAATTTTAAGAGAAAAGTTAGAAACATAGCTTATGACTGCTCTTACTCCTTCTTCAAACCACATCCAGTGTAAACAATCACAAGATCAAGAGCTAATGTCATATTCCGTACCAGAGCCATAAAAAGGTTTTAAATTAATCTGTTATATTATAATTTCACTGTAGTTTAGAAGTATTACAGGGACTAGACACACATGCATTCTGTTACTGAGAGAAATGAGAACCTAAAAGGTATCAGAAGTATGCTTAGGCTTCTTTAATACTCCTTCAGTCAAGTTTTGTGTGGCACCATATTTCAGGGTGAATATTATGAGTCAGGTACACCTGGGCTCTCAAATCCTGGCTCTACCCAGTGTTTAACAATGGGAAAGTGGTCTCACTTCCCTCAGCTTCAAGGGGGGTATAGTGATAGCACAGATCTCAGAGAGGTTACAAGATTAAATGAGCGTATGCATGAAAGGTGCTCACCAATGGCAGGGACCTCCAGAGTATCAGTGAGTAGACGGACCCAATGCACGAATGGAAAGTGCTTTTTTTGAGGTGAGTCTCCTGGTATGGCCCAAGCTGGCCTCAAACTCCTGTGCTCCAATGATCCTCCTAGCTTGGCTTCCTGAGTGGCTTGGGCAATTGGCATATGCCACTGTGCCGGGGGGTACAGCACTTTAATTAAAGTACACGCTTCCCACTTGAATGTAGATATCTTGCATAATCACAAGACATTTATTTAATGTCACTTACGATACCCATCTTAAAAGAGAATCACAACGTTTCAGACATTCTATCAATCTGTTAGTGTCAGCAGCTTACTCTGCACTGCGGCTCTCATGTAAAGGATGATTCGTTTAGAGAATGAGTGACATCTGAGAACACCTCAGGCCTCTGAGTTCCCTTTTTCCCGCTACAGAGACACATTCATCAGGACCTGCTGTCCATGTATGCACACTACACTTTTTTTCTGTCCCTGCACAGAGCCACAGTTTTTAAAGGATGAATCTAGGGCTCTGTGATAGCCGACTCCTCATATAAAAGCCAACACAGAAAACACTGCCCTGCAGTTTCTCTGCCAGGGCGGCATCTGACTGCACTACATGAAAACCTCTGCTCTGGCTTTATCACACATCCTTCCTTCTGTGCATCTTTAGCACTCCCAACAGCGTGTTTTGGCCAGAAAAACAAAACACGAAAAAACAATGACCAAAGCTCCGTGTACCACGTCCGGATCTCACTGAAGCAGGGCACGTGAGACCATCACCTGCAGGATGATGGCAGGGCGGTCATCTTCTTCACTGCGTCCATATGTGCATCACGCAAAGGAGAACAGTAATTTCTGCTAATGTCATGTGACAGAGGCAAAATGCGCAAACATCTTTCTGTCCTACCAAGTCATCACCCCCTCCTTATTGCTCAGTGTCCTTGAGTAAAAGGGGAACACACTGTCAGCTGACATCACTCGGAAAGCAGCCTGTTTAGACAGTGGGCAGCAAGATGTTGTTTCCCCGTTTTCACTAGGCCTTAAGTTTCTCAGGTGAAAGAAACCTTTCACAGCAGCAGTTCGTCTGGAAGGAAAGTCAGGAAAGAGAGCGAAATGCCAATGTGCTAATTCACATTTACTCGCAGCCAGAGTGTGTGGATTTTTGCTACAGAAAAACAACTGTGAGAAATAGTAATACAGCGTATTCAGTCAGTTTGGAAGGAAAGACTGCTGTAGAACGAACTGTGGACAAAGTGAGTAAGAGAAATGAATCCTGCCTGGCTCCTTAGAAAATTCAAATCCAAGTCTGCTCCTTAAAAACTCATGTAGATTATTAGAGGGACAAAAAGCTCCTAAAGTTGCTAAGTACCTTGCCATCACCCTTGGTATATACTGAAAATCACTTTGTATAAGTTGACGATTAGAAAAGGCATGAGCTATGTTATTTTGCAATAAAAATGGTTATGGGAGTGGCTGAGACCCAAACTGCCCAGGACTTTCCCAGCTTGGGTCTGGAAATTCCCATTTCCCAGCATCTTATAGTCCCAAGAGACCAGGATGAATGGTCACCCGGCAGCCGTGAGCTCCAAAACATATCTCAAAGGAGCTGGTCCCTGGTAAAAGCCCTTCATTCTCTGGTGAGATATTCTCTGAGAGCACTGCCCTACAGCAGAAAGAAACAGCCACAGAACGGAGTAGGGGTGGGCTGTCAGGATCCACTTGTCACCTCCCCAGTGCCTGAAAGTATGCTAGAACACGGAGGGGACTCAGTACGTAGTTCTCCTAACAGGCCTGTATTCTGGGAGAAATGATAAACGGTAGGCAGTACACGGGAGAGAAGTGAGACTTTCAAAGCAGATAAAATCTGCCAAGCAGAAGCGGCGAAGAAGCCGCCTCTGCCTCCTGCCCCTCCTACCGTAAGGACCGGACACAGCACAGGCCCAGATGAAAATTAACTCAAGTAGGGAAGCAACCTGACATTTATGCTGTTTGATCAGCTTTGCAGGCCTGGTGGGGCTGGGTGGTCTGGGCAACTAGTTAGAGGATAACTATGTAATACAGTAAGGATCGTGGATTCCTACTGTCCTATTACTGTTCTGTTTTGTTTCATTTTACTATTCCGTTCTACTCCTTTTAAAATTAAAAAAAAAACAAAGTAGATAAAATCCTATTTAGTATGCACTACTCATAATAGTTATATGTTGTCATATAATAAATAGGTTTTAAAGAAAGATTAAAGGTAAACAAATCATTGGCCACTTCCATGTCGAGTTAAGTAGAAATTGGAATCTCAGCCTTGTGAATGCACCACCGACTCAAAGATAAAAAAGATGAGTCTGTATTAAACCCAAAGCACAATACCAATCATCAAAGCTCTGCACCGCTCCAACTGCACAGTACATTTAAAATATGTAAAGTAATACTGATTGTTTTAAAGTTTAGGATGAGTTGGGAAATTTTTATATGGTCAAGTATGCAAACGATGTAAGTCACTATTGATTTCCACGGTTAATAATTGTGGAATGTCGGTAAATCAAATCCACTTCCTAATGTTATGTAACTGCTGTGTTTCATCCAGGCTCTGATTCTGAACAACAACAAGTTAACAAAAATTCATCCCAAAACCTTTCAAACTACAAAGAAACTTCGAAGGCTCTATTTATCCCACAATCAACTAACTGAAATCCCACTCAATCTTCCCAAAGCATTAGCAGAACTTAGAATCCACGATAACAAAGTTAAGAAAATACAGAAGGATACGTTCAAAGGAATGAATGCTTTGCACGTATTGGGTAAGTTTTCTAATGAATGGGACATCTTGAAATCATAGTCAACATGCAAATGTAGAAGACTTTACTATCATTGTTAACTTCTAAGGATAATTTCCAAAACTAATGTTTGAATCTTTGCTTCAAGCCCTTACAGAAAATATGTTCTTTAATACTGTGAATACTGCGTCTTTTTCTTGAGAAGTCTCCTTTGAAATACTGAGTAAGGTTTTTATTTTTGGAACTGGATCCTAATTAATAAAATCTATATTATTGTTATTTAGGATAGTATTTTTGATGTATGTATACTTAAATATAATGTATGAATTAATGCAGATAGTATAAGGAATGTAAACTCAATTTTTGGTTAACTTTTTTTTTTTAAGATCAATGATCTAAGCCAGGCATATTGGTATACACCTGCAACCGCAGGGTTCAGGAGGCTGAAGCGGGAAGATTGCTATAAGTCTGAGCCCAGCCTGGGGTACACAGTGAGTTCAAGGCCAGCCTGAATTATAGAATGAGACCCTACATCAAAAAACCAAAACCAAAGATCACTGAGCTAGGCAATTTTTTGTTGTATATTTTAACACATTCCTATCAGCTTGAACCATCAGTGGTACACGCATGACTGTCCTATCAGGAGGCATGGCATGGGACAATCCCATTTCGGGGTACAAGCCATCTGTTGGGACAGTCATGCATGGATGATCCCGCTGTGAATGTGTTAAACCCCACTGACATTTTAGTCTTACTACTTACCACGTAACCATGCCATCTCCTCACACTATCCATCTGAATGTCCTAACCAAGATTCTTGTATATTTATTCACCTAATTCAATCTATTACCCGGCATTGGACTAAACAGCTTCCAACTAGCGTTTTCCCAACATAATCTGCTAATCATGTAATTTCTAGGTGACATAGAAAAATGAGTGTGAACCACGAAACTCACACTGCCTGGAAACAGTCTTAGGATGTGCCTTACACTGAGTTTCCTTTTTGTATAGACTATGTGATAATCAAGTCATTTTCTCCACAGAAATGAGTGCAAATCCTCTTGAAAATAGTGGAATAGAGCAAGGGGCATTTGAGGGGGTGACAGTGTTCCACATGAGAATTGCTGAAGCCAAACTAACCTCCATTCCTAAAGGTTTGTATTTACTTTAAGACAGAGTTATTTTTAAATTATGTCTTTCACTGTCCTTTAAGAGAAATGGTGTAAGTTGTACAGTGTATGATGCCAGAACCACACTACAATTATAAATCTTCATTTATGTATCTCAACAGTAAAGTATGAAAGCATTTTCTCACATACATGTAGAGAACTGTATGTAGTCATTTTTTTATCTTATGGAAAAAAGTAAAACAAAATTTCATAACAAAAGAACAGGAAAATAATATAGTTAACGCATTGTGTATTATCTTTAAAGTATTCAGAGTACAACATACAGGCATAAAAAATTCTCTAAACAACATTAGCACAAACTTTTCAAAGAACTAAGAGAAACTGGTAGAATATCTTGTATTTTTCCTTTTCTCTTCATTCCTTTTCCTTTTCTCCCATCCTAGTTCCTTTATCCTTTTGAACAATTTCTTCCCATTTCAAAATATCTATGGCACCTTTTGGACCTTATTTAGTCTCTCAGTTTCTCACACCAGGAAGACAAATACAATATTTACAGTGTGAGTCTGATTTATTTCACCTATGAATATGGTCTCAAATTGCACCCATTTACCTATAAAAGTCTCAAGTTTATCCTTCTTTTATGTAGTGATTTTCTGATAGCATTAAACTAACTTTAATTGACACTAAAACACTGAGAATGTTTAAGAATAGATAGTAAGCAGCAATAGACTCTATTCTCTTTCTCTCCTGACACATCTGTTATTCTGTGAGGCACACCTGTCATTCCATGAGGCACAACAGAGGGGGATAACTCTGTAGACAGAAAAAGCTCAGACAGCCAGATGGGGCTGCCCCTGGTCACCAGCTGTGCTGTACCGCTGAGTGCAGCCAGTCAGGCCAGATGGGGGCAGCCAGGAGTGGATGTGCCACCGGGTACTGAGCCAGCTTCTTACCAGGGGTGCTGTCAAGATCAGTCTGACAACACAGAGGAAGATGTGAGGACTGTCTGGCCCGTCCATAATAGCTTCTTAAGACATCATCCCTACCACGAGGAGCTCTGAGCTCTCTTTTGAGCTTCTTAACCTTGTTAAGATGACCGGGTTTCTGAACCGTTCCTTCTACGATTCCTGTCTGGTGACTGGCTCTATCACACATAAGATGGCTCACTTGAACTCATGCTCAAAGTCTCACTTTCTTTGTCCCCACAGATCATAGTGTGTCTGCCTGTCTGTGTCTTCTCGGCTTTGATGTTACTTGGTTCAAAAATAACGCATATGATCAACATTTTCACTTCCAAAAAGCTGCCTTTCAAAAATGTGCAACCATAAAAGTGGTGGTTTTGTAGTAATCACTACCATTCACCTCATTCAGAGATTAACAAAACAAAGTTGCACAGGAATTTAAGACGAAGCAAAGGTATTATGTCACAATCTCTCACTTAGTTTCAACTAGGTGAAAGATTATGGAAAGTAAGATGGGAAGATCATTTTTCTAACCTGAAAAACACATTAATACATTTATACATCTACAGAAAGTTTATTTAGAACAGTGATAAAAGTCTACCTCTATTCAATAGGATAAGTATTTAAAATCCCCGTCCTAAAAGGCAGCTGCAGTGGAATAAAGGGAGACAAAGACATGGAGAGGTAGGAGCCGCTGGGTGGCAGACGCACAGCCATCCTTCACGTGCAGACTGGAGCTCTCCTTACAGTCACACTAAGGGGCTGTCCTCAACCGTGAAAACACTTTATTAGAATTTCTCCTTAAATGTCAAAAAATATCTTAGCTTTAACATTTCATGAAGCTCCTAAATTTTTTCCAAAGCCTAAGGAACACTAAGTCTTTAGAAATTTAAATTAGAATAAAATCTTTCAAATTCAATTAACGACCATTTCAATATCTGGCATTCAGGGGCCAGCTTTGTTGTTGCTGTTTTTATAGCTACAATGTGATGCCTGCCTGTCCCAATGCTACTAATGGATGAAGGGACAGACTGCCCTGGGGTCCTCATTAGGAAGAGTTCACAGGAGTGAAATATCCTCCTTCTTCATTTCGGAAACTCCAGTGCATAATCACAGTGTGTGTGCGTGCACGCGTGTGTGTGGTAGCAGCAGGAGGCACCCATCTGGAAACACAGAGTGAAAACGTGTCTCTGTTAACAGCACGCTGATATCTGTTGATAGTCACTGAGCCTCTCCAGGATCAGCCTCTGCTCTTTACTTCAGGCACTCACCTTCCATAGGTCCCTGGGGACACAAAGCTCCTCAAATTCTTCCTCTCTTCTCTGAATTCCTACGTTAGAATAGGCTGCTATACTGCACCATTGATTTTCCTAGTAATTTTTGCATGAATGATGATCTCATTGAGAATATAAGGAATTTGAGGATGCGAGCTTTTGTCTTACATATTGGAGAGATTATTATAGTTATTCCATAAATATAATTCTACTCAATAAGAATTTTTAAAAATAGAAACTTCGGGATACAGCTCAGTGGCATAAGCACCTGCCTGGCAAGTGCAAGGTCCTGAGTCTGTAGAAACTTCTGAGTTTAAAGGAATTATTTTCTTGTTCTTGAGTTTATTTATTTTAAAATTCAAAGTATATACTGGAATTAAAATTCAGCCCTGATGATCACTGACATTCATAAGGATATTTCAATTATCTTCATTAGTCATTAGCCCTAACCCAGGAAGGAAATTTCACAGCAAAAACCAAACCGCTGGCTGATAATACATTGTATATAGGACTAACTAAATGAAGTTTGATTGAGTCTTCTGGTCTCTTTCACTGTAGCTTCCAAACATTCGGAAAGGCTGAGGTCACAATGTCAGAGAGAAGAGAAAGGTACATATTCACTGGGCGCCTGCCAGGTGCTGGGGCACTGCAGAATCACTTCATAATTTATTAAACAAATAAAAGTCCTACTACTAATTCAAAGAACAAATACTGCTATGGATTCACTATCTCAGATAGAGTAAAATTCTTTACTTATAATGATAACAAAAATATCTTCACTGGTCATCCCTGGGCAATGTGCAAAAGAATCAAGATTTTTAATGAAAATTGTATTAGCAAGTAACTAAATAATTATGAAGGGAAATCGTTTAGAGATGAATTTCAGCAAGCCCAGAATTACAAAAAGAAAAACAAAATTCATATAGTCATCCGAACCATGCACAGTGGCCCATACCTATACACAGATTGAGACAGAAGACCGCTTTTACCTGGGAGTTTGTATAGCCAGCCCGGGCAACAGAAAGAGACCTCACAAACAAAGTGACAAACCAACCACCTGACCAGTAAGTCACCACTTCCCGATTACTGATGAACACTGAATCAAGACAGCATCCATGATGAATGCCAAAACCGTCAAGTGAAAGGTGCTCTACTTCCATCTGCCTGGCTTTGGATCTGAGGCTCAGGACATAGAAATAAGAGTTAGGATTCAGATAAATAATATCATTTAGACATTGCGAGTCAAATCCACAAAATGAATGTTTAAATCAATACCTGAAAGAAGTCGATAAGAAGCAGTACGTTATAGAAAATAAAACATTTTAAAAGAGATAAACATCAAAGTACTCTAAACTTTATTGGATCACAACTTGAACAAATTAACTATAAAATGATATATATGCTATAACTAGTGGAGATAAGTATTAGATGATATCAAAGAATCATTACTAATTGTGTTAAGACATTAATATTGACAAGGTGATTGGTATTTAAAAAAAAAGTGACCTTATCTATTAAAGTTAGACACCCGGTTAAACAGGTGAAATTCTATTTGTGTATGGCATTTGAATTTAAACACACTAGCAAAAAAAGACATAAATATGTCCATAAATAAATGGGATAGATGAAGTAAAAGCAGAAAAAAAGCAGCTAGGTTAAGGCTGGATGACAGCCTGGTGGTTTACAATAATATCTTCTATTTTATACATACTTGAAACTTTTGGTAGAAAAAGATTTTTAAAGGTAGACAAATAACTATTTAAACCCATAACCTAAAACTCGACAATAAACAGCCATGAGGTAAGACCTTACTTGATCTAACAACATCTTTCTTTTCTTGTTAGACCTACCATCAACCTTACTGGAACTCCATTTAGATTTTAATAAAATTTCCCTTGTGGAACTTGAGGATCTTAAGCGATACAAAGAACTACAAAGGTAAAAGTTGCCAGAGTCTTACTTTATTTTTAGTATATGTTTGTAGTATGTAACAATCACATTCACTGTGGGGAGTTGGTATATGCACATAAGAGACCAGAATCTTAATTTAGAAGTATAGCACATAGGATTAAAACATTACTGAAGCTTCTCAGAGAATGTGAGTAACAGCCCCAGTGGAGATCATTGCTGTTGCTACTAGAGAGTGTGAAGGAAAAATGAGAAAGTAGCACTATTACTACTGTTTATGCTAATGGGAGAGGCCAAAAGAAAGCACATTTTACACATTCTTCTCTTTGGTGCATTTAGGACAGATAATATTTGAAGTATCTATGTGTGTGCGAGGAGGGGGGCTATGTAGTGAAATAGGTTATGAAAGCCAAGAAGGCAAATTACAGAGGTGTATGCCTGCAATCCCAGTTACTGAGGGGGCTGAGCCATGGGAACTGTGAGTTCAAGGCTGTCCTGGGCAGTGAGGCCCTGTCTCTCAAAAGTATAAATAAATAAAATTAAAAAAATAAAAATAAAAAAACCAGGAACCAATTTTCTGTGACTATACATGGAAACAAGATAGTAAACAAGTTATATTCTAAATAGGGTTGTGGTATTTTCAGTTAACTTGATCAAACCCTACCATCTGCATAAGAACTGACACATTTTATTATCATTTGTAGGCTGGGCCTAGGAAACAACAGAATCGCAGACATTGAAAATGGAAGTTTTGCTAACATACCTCGTGTGAGAGAAATACATTTGGAAAATAACAAACTTAAAAAAATTCCTTCAGGATTGCAGGAGTTGAAGTACCTCCAGGTAAAATATTGTACTTGCATCTGGTAGATACAAACACTTTTATAAAACACATTTAGAATTTTGCAAACAAAGACCAAGCAAGCCTCAAGGGTAATTCAGACATCACGACTCCCCAGGTTGCAACGAGGCGTTTTACCAGACAGGACAGCATCAGGACCCAAAACCTCCCCGACCCAGCAGCTTAGGTTTCAACATCCACTTTCTCCTTCTGAAGCTGCTGAGGTGCTCATGGCACAGACGCCAACATCGCTGATTCAGGTTTCCACAGTTTCTAAGGCAGGGCCACATGTGCTTGGGTTCTGGACACATTTCACAGTATAGGGCAAGAGAGTCAGGATCCAGGTATGTTCACTATCAATATGGTGCTAGGTTGGAAGTAGGTATGCTTTTTAAAACGTTTATTAAGTAACTAAAATTCACTATTTGGAGCATCGAAAGCTGGCACTGGGCTGGAGATATAATTCATTAGTATAGGGTGTATCTTGAATGTGGAAGGCCCTGGGTTCCATCACCAGCACCACAAAAAGAAAAAAAGAAATTTACATTTTGTCACTTGCTGTTCTTCCTTATTAGAAACTTGTTCCTTTCTTATGTTACAATTCTTTTTTTTTTTTTTTTTTGTCTTTTTCCTTTTTATCGGTACCAGGGATCGAACTCACGACTGCCTGCTTACAAGGCAGGCACTTATGCCGCGGAGCTAAATCCCCAGCCCCTATGTTACAATTTTTAACTTGCTGGCAGGGTTACAGAATATCAAAACAGTATTTTGCACATAATTCTAGGTTTTTCACAGTCTTTTGATTCTCATTTAGGGGCCTCAGATTAAGGAGCCCTGTATCATACTATTTCATCTTAATCTATTTTTCTCATGGGATTCCCTTGCTTAAACCTTATCTCCCGATTAAATAAAACGGGGCCGAGTACTGTGTTAATCACCTTCCTGCTGCTGGACCAAAACACCTGACACACAGGACTTCAATGACACAAAGTTTACTTTGACCCAGTCTCAGAAGTTTTTGGCCAGGGGCGGACCAAGCGGCTCCAATGAAGAAACATCATGGCAGAAAGTGTAGCAGGGAGAGCTGCTCACCTCATAGCCTCCAGGAAGGAGAGAGGGCGGAGAGCAAGGGGTGGGACCAGAACGTAGCCTTCCAGGGTACATTCTTAGGGGGACCTACTTTCTCCAGCCCCTAGACACACATTATTCTGCAAACTCAATCAGCGCTCTGCTTCTCTGATGTCCTTCTCATTTACCTTTAAACCGGATTTACTCACCAGACACCCGGCCATCAAAGCGTGTGCTCTGTGCAGATGTGGGTAACCCAGCGGTCTCTGGTGGTTCTAAACACAGCAGAGGACCTCTGTCGGATGTGATCACAGCCTGAGCTACCCTGTCTCAAGCTCAGGTGCCAGCTTATCATCTCGTACAATCCTGTACTCTTGTTGGCATCTTTTTTAGTGAAGAGAAGCACAGAGATGTGCACACATCCTCCTGAGCCTCCGATTCCGTGACTATCCACCAAATAAACCACATACTCACCGTGTTTTCACTCACGGTGATCTCAGAGCAGTGAAAAGCATACCTTGTCGTGTTCCTGAGCATAAGGGAACCATGTAAGGGATCTGTTACAAAACCCCATGACTCATAGAGCACACAGGAAAGGTGACCACGACATAAAAACATTTTAGCAATGCCCAGACCTTTCGTGGTGAGGATCGGATCACCTTCTGCAAGAAATGAAGGCAGAATTTTGACGGAAGGTCAAAACCAACTCTGCCAGCAAAAGGTTACTTTTACTTCCTAGAAATCTCACTGTTATTCCAGAAGGCCAAAAAGGAATTGAATGGTTGATCACGGAAACAGAAGTTTCGCATTCTTTGAGTAATAATTTAAAAGATTTTCATAGCCTTTAAAATTGACATTTTTCATTAGTGCAAAGGATTCAAATATGTTATGCTACAAATATACACTGAAGATGTAGACAGAGATTTTCTGTAAAACCACACACACAAAAAGCAGTTCTACGCTTGTCTTCTTTTCCACAAAAAAGTGCCAGCTATTGTTTCTTCATCTTAATATAGTAGGGGCTAGGGATTTAGCTCAGCGGTATAAGCGCCTACCTTACAAGCACGCAGTTGTGAGTTTGATCCCTGGTACCCATGGGGGGAAAAACATATCTTAACATTTTAATATATAGTGAATTAAGTTCACAGAGCACTGAATTTCATTCCTCTGTTCATTTCTAATATGTTTAATTTTAACTTTGAACCTGGCGTGGTTGGTGCATGCCTGTAATCCTAGCACTTGGGAGGCTGACGCAGGAGAATCCTTGCAAGTTCAAAACCAGCCTAGGCTACAAAGTGAGCTCAAGGTCAGCCTGAACTGCATAGTGAGACCCTGTCTCAAAAAGACAAGCAAAACAAAAGAAAGCAAAAACCAGTTCTAACAGAATCACTCATGCCCACCTGAAGTACGGGTGAGGCAGATGGGGCGGGTGTGGAAGAGCTGTGTGGCAAGCTGACCGGGCAGCATGCAGGGTCTTGACTCGTTTCTGTGCTATACAACCCCATTTCTAGAGCACTTTCTTATACAATACAGGAGCCTGAATAGTTATAAGTTACTTAATACATATAAACAAGCATATTTAAGTGAAAATGCAGATGAGTAATGCCACAAACAAACAATGAATATAAACGGAATATCTTCCTTTTACATTGACTGGGTATTTTAAACCTATTCTTTTCTTCCTACAACAGATAATCTTTCTTCATTCTAACTCAATTGCCAAAGTGGGAATAAATGACTTCTGTCCAACAATACCAAAGATGAAGAAATCTCTCTACAGTGCAATAAGTTTATTTAACAACCCAGTGAAGTACTGGGAAATACAACCTGCAACGTTCCGTTGTGTTTTGAGCAGAATGAGTGTTCAAGTTGGGAACTTCAGAAAGTAACAATGATGTCAGCTCAACATAAAATTCAAAAATTCTTTCATTTGGAATACTTGAATGCATTGGTAATGGTAGGAACACATCCCATACGGTAAATGACAAAAAATTTCAGCAGAATTTTGCCATCTATTGATACATAAGGATTAAGAGAAATAAGTATCTATTGTAGTTTTCTTCTGCATAAAATGATTGTGCAAACATCTCTTGCTTTACCATTTCTTTCTCAGTAAAAATTCCGTATTTAACCCTTTATCTAGTGCATCTTAAAAACAACTGTACTGTAAATGGAATTACCAACTTAGAACATGTGTGCTTTTTAATTGCTAGAAAAATAAAATTGACAAGGACAGCTATATGAAGAGAATATTATACTATTCCTATTCTTTAATAACTTTAGTACTGTAATATTTCTAATCATGGTGAAGTTATGATTTAAGATAATCATAATGAAATTCTCATGTGTTATAGCCTGTCTTTCATGTTTAAAACTATCTTAAATAAAACTTAAAGTATTAAACCAACTCTACAGACACTATTAATAAGAGTTGGTTTTGAAGCTAAAGCAGTTTTCTTTATACAATTATTACCTGATTCTAAAACCTTTGTAAAAATTTGTAGTGAGTGTTTATATAAAATGTAACTCACATTTTTATTATCAGTTATCATAAGCCTTTAATAGCATGTCAGTTATTAGGTTATAGAACAATGTCACCTCAACTCCAAGGAGTATTTTCAGGGTGTCCCCTTGGAAGATCTAGCTCAGAAGGGTCTACATGCTATGAATTCTGTACTGATTTGTCTTTTCAAATATACACAGACTGGAGAACAAGAAACATATCTGAACTGGTACAACCTCAAATAAAACAGACAAAAGCTGAAAATTCTGTACAAAAGTCATAAGTAGTCTCATTTGTATTTTTTATTGGCATTCTAACTTAGAAAATAAGGAAAACATCATTAAAAATATGTTTGAAATAAAAGAACTGTGTTTTGGTTTGATTCTTTTCTTCCAGCCCAGGAACATAAACTACTTGTCAGAAAACTCTAGTTTATACATATTTATTAAAGAAGCACTAATGTTCATTCTGAGTAACAGTACTAAAATATAAACTTAATTTCCATGCCATGAAAGAAAATCACCTTCACTTAAACTAGACTTTCACTGTATTTTAGGTGGGAGGAAGACAATATTAAAGATATATAAGAGTAAGTAGAAGGTTTGTATATCAAAGTTAAGAAGGGAAAAATATGGTCTCTTTTTCCCAGAAGTGTATCCAACTTTGACCCTATCAACATTTTGGGGCCAGATCTTCTTTGGCGGGAGACTGTCTTGCTCACGCAGAATGCTTAGCAGCTTCATGGTCTCTACCCACTGGATGCCAACATGTCCACCTCTGCCTGCCACCACTGTGACAATTGATAATTTCTCTAGACTTCATCAAATACTCCTGAGATGAAGGGTGGGAGATAGCTCAAAATCTCAGCTGGCTGAGAACAACTGCTTTACGTAAAAATTATTTAATTTCTAAGATGACCTAAATTTAGAAACCTGGGACTAAACTGCTACTTTTGTAAAGATTTCACACAGAGGATCACAGTGTGTTTGACACAATAAAGCTTAACCACGAGTAATGATAGTCCAGAAAGAGAGATGCAGGGCTTTGACCTGCCAATCAAGTCCACTCACAACATGGGGAAAGTCACCTGTTCTTTGGAGCATGAGTCTTTAGAGGGTAGAAGTGATGCTACGGATCAAGGAGGCTGCTATGAGGACTGAACAAGGAAAATGTATGTAAAATGCTTTGTACACAGAAAGCTTTACAGAGCATCAGTAACCACGGTAGCAGGCAGTCATAGAGGGCTGAGAAAAGGTGACTACTGCCAAGTTCTGAGTCAGGTGTGGGCACCTGTAATCACCGTCACTCAGAAGGTGGGGCAGGAGAAAGGCACACTGGTGGCTAGCCTGGCAACAGACAAGAACTAGTCTCATGATTTTAAAAAAGAATGCCTTAAAATATAAATATTACAAGGGAATTATTCTCACATCAAAAGTTTAAAGTTCCAAATGTTTTAATAGTTAATTTTCTACAATGTAACAAAAATTTAAAAATCATGATAACGGTGCTGACAAGAACATATGTAAGTCAAATGATCAGTGACAATGGAGAAACACAGTTCTTGAAATTAATAATTAAAACCATAATGTTAATGCTCACATTAGACACCCCACCCTGGGAACTGAACTGATACACCCCTAGCTCTTCTTTGAGCTAGGCATTCATTAAAGTTGCACAGGCTGGTCTTAAACTAGCAATCCTGCTGCCACAGCCTCCTGAGTAGCTAGGATTACAGATGTGTGCCATGATCGCTGTCTAAAAAGTAAAGATGGAGCTGGTCATGGTTGTGTATGCCTGTGATCCCAGCACTCTGAGTAGCTGAGGCAGGAGACTACAAGTTTGAGCCCAACCTGGACAACTCAGCAAGATTCTGTTTCAAATAATTAAAAATATATAAATGATATAAAAATATACAGAAAGGGTTAGGGATGTGGGTCCATATGAGGCTGTACGTTCAACCCAGCGGGGGAAAAACAGAACAAAAACTTTTAAATAAATATATGAAATGATTGCTGAAATCCCTGGAATCAACTTTCCAAAGTTAATGTTTATATTTTCCATTTTTGGTTTTAAGTTTGCAAAAAACCACATCACTAAAGAAGAAAATCATAAACAACCAACACTACATTAAAGTTTGCTACTATGAATATATTTTTATGGTAAATACAAAGTATTAGCCACCGGAAAGGCATTAAAGATCGAAAACAAATCAGTTACTACAACATTCCTTCAGAGTATACTATGGACTAGCAACAAAGAATCTCAAGTGCCCATATACCTATATTTCCTCCTACTGTTACAACAGAAATGGTCATCAGAATTTATGAAACATAAAATAAATTCATGCAACAAATATAATGCTTTAAGAAAATCACTTATGAAGTTACTAAAAACTACTTATTTACTTATTTAATGTCTTTTTGAGGCAGAGTCTTGCTATGCAGTTCATGCTGGCCTTGAGCTCACTGTATAGCCCAGGCTGGTCTCAAACTCACAACAATCCTCCTGCCTCAGCCTCCTGAGTGCTGGGATTACAGGTATGGGGCACCATGCCAGATAAACAAGTTTTTAAAATATTCTTATTTTTTTTCCTCTTAAGATACCACATATCTCTCTTTCATTCATAATTCCATCATTGTTTGAAAGAATTCTAACCCAGGTTTCATAATCCTTCTACACAAAAAAGAACATACCTACTGCAGCTGAGCTACCAAGTTTGCTACATCTATTATCCTAAACTTGTGTTGTACAAATAACATTAGATAACAATAGTTGGTATTTAAAGAACATTTTCAGACATTCAAGCAAGTATCTTACTTCTATTTATTTATTTTAAAGCTCACTAGCTGGGCATGGTGGTGCACACCTGTAATCCCAATGGGGAGGCTGAGGCAAGAGGATCACTGTGAATTCAGTTCTCCTATGACACAAGTACTGTGTGTGTGTGTGTGTGTGTGTGTGTGTGTGTATGCATGCGAGCACACATGTCCAATGGGGAATCAAACCCAGGGGCCCACGCTAGCTGGGTACTCTATTGCTGAACTACATCCCTATCCCTGGTACCTTTATTTAGGCACGGAAACTGAGGAACAAAGATTTAAATAACTTGTGTGTGATCCAGGACTAGAACCCAGCAGTCTAGCTCCACGCTTTTAACTATGATAGTACATTATTTTTTCAGTCATTTCTCGTTTGTCTGGAATTCTCTGCTCACTCGGCTAATGTACACCATGCCTTTCTGTTGGCCCTTAGTGGCTAATGTTATCCAATATTTCCTTCACTTATCCTCGAACAATTTCATTTGTTTTCTCTCTATATAGTTATTACCAAAATCCAGAATCCAGATCTCACATGCTGATCTCTCATGAGTGATACACTTTGAAAAGTAAACCCAAATATTTGGTGCCATAAAACTCAATTGAGATCAACAAGAATTTCTTTCCAGTTCTCACAGTTCCTCTGGACTCCATCCTTCCTCCCATGTTCAGACTCTTAAACTTCTAGGAGTCATTTATTTCTGACGCTCTTGCACTTTACGGGCCGTGAGTGCTGACTTTTTTCCCACATACGCTTCTTCTTCTTCATCTTCGGTTATTGTATCACCACCATGCCATTTTGGAGCTGGAATATCAAAATAGGCTCCTAGCCTCGTCTAACCCATTGAACTCACATCACCGACAAGCTGATCCAAGTGCCACCTATCAGTCATGCCATGCTCTTCGTCAAAAGCTCTGAATAGTTCCCTTTAGTAACTGAATCATAAAAACTTAGTAACATACCCCTTAAGATTATCAATGATGTTCAAATAATGATTTGTGAGTTTTCCATTTTGTGCTGCAGGTCAGCATTACGTGCTGTTTCTCATGCACACTGCATTTTTTATCTTCTTTTGTTTGTGTCATCTTTTGCATCTATCAAAATCCGACTGGACCACAACCAGCCGTGGCAAGACCAGCCACCTCAGCTCACCTTCCCAATTCTCCCACAAACCTGCAGCCTCTTCTCCCAACCTCCAGGAGCCCCAGTATTCTGATCATGCTTCTGATCATGCATTCAGACATTTGCCACAATTTACCTTATTTGTTTTGCGCTTGCCAGAGAATCTGAGGCATTCTGGATGCAATGACCGTATTCTGGTCTCTCTTCCCTTCTTCCAGTGTGAGTACTGCCAGGACTTTATACGAGGTATGATAGAAACATGCATTAAATGTTTAAATTAAAAAGTTTATTCCAGTAAAAGACATCGCCATTAACCTCCTTGTTTCAAACACACTTGTCCCATCACTCTGGTCACTTTCTGAAGCACATCTGGAATGCTTGTTTTGTGTCTTTATGAAATATGATCAAAAATACAATGAATCCTGCCACTGAGCGCCACCCAACGGAAGACAGGAGGGCAAACAGCATAGTGCGTCGTCATTCACCCCACCTGGCACAGGGTGCCCTCCGACGGAACATTGGAATTGTTTCAGGACACTGAGGCAGTCAGGACAGTACACTGAAAGACACTCAAAGAGGACCCCTCAAACTGCTCAGCTCGTGCCGAGTACGATGGATGAGTGCATTCAAAGTAGGGGGGGGTTCCCTGAGGGGCACTCAAGGTAATGCGTCTTTTACTGTAATAAATTCTTTCTTCCTGTTTCTTTTATGTTTTTTGAGTCAGTGTCTCACTACGTAGTGCAGGCTGGCCTTGAACAGGTGGTGGTCTTTCTGCTAGTCTCCCAAGTGCTGGGATTACAAAATGTGCCACCACATCCACTTGAAAAAAATTTCTGTAAACTAAGCATTTACCATACTTTTCAAGTATACCTCAAATGTAGGAGAAAATTCTATCCTCATCCTAAGACAGTGTGTTTCTAGCTTACAGATCTTCGTTCTAGCAGATTCCCTCTTCCTGTAGCCCTGCCACAAACCACACTTAGGCACACAGATGCACAGCTTCCCTCTACACTACAAGGAGACAGGACACTCAGTATGGTTTTTTCCCCTAGATGCTTCCACTCTATGTCATTGAGGCCATTATTACAGTTTTTAATCACAGGCTCTAGAGCTCTGAAATGGATTCTCCTGCCCAATCGCTGCTAATCCAGGCTCTCCAAGGAAAACGTAATAGTAGTAAAAGCTCTCTCTTTGCAAAATAAAAAAATTGAAAAGAGCTGCATGGAAATGAACCTGTACACAGGAGAAGAGGCTGCAGAGGGTCTGAACAAACAGAAACCCAGCGACACCTCATAGTCAGTCCAAGGGACCAACACATTGCCGTTTGCTGCCTGTGTCAGACCAGAAAAGGAGACTTGACGTTTGGATGCTAGAGACTTTCTTATCTTTGTACTGAGGAGAATTTGTAATAGAAGCAAAGGTAGACAAAACAATAAACTTTCAAGCACTTCTAAGTTTCAAGAATTATTAGGTCATAATCATTTTAATTCTCTCAGCCCTATTCTTTATCTGTAAATTTATCTGTTTGTGGTACTGAGGAGCTGAACCCAGGAGCTGCTGAGCTACATCCTCAGCCCTTTCTAGTTTTCATTTAGACAGGGTCTAAGTTGTCCAGGCTGGCCTCGAGATGGCAGTTCTCCTTCTCAACCTCCCAAGTAGCTGAGAACACAGCCATGAGCCTGATTCTACTGTTAGGTCTAATAACAGTTTTATTGAGATACGATTTACATTCTATATAATGGAACTGTTTACAGTATGCAATTCAGTGGTCTTTAGTACTTTCAGAGTTCTACAAATATCAGTATCATCAACCTTAGAATTCATCACCACAAAAATAAAGCACATATCTGCCAAAAGTGCCTCCCTGCTTACTTCTGGCAAGTCTACTTTCTACGGCCTTCCCTGCCCTGGACATTTTACATGAATGGAATTATAATAGGTGGTTTTGAGTGACTGGCTCCTTCCACCTAGCACGCTTTCAAGGTTCACACTCACAGTGTGCCAGCAGTTCACTGCTTCCTATAGCCGTATGACGACGATGCTTCACTGAAAGGACAGAACACATTTATCTACCTATGTTAGCTGGGTGTTCGAGTTGTATCTAGTTTGGGGATGTTATGAATAATATTGCTATGAACACTTGTGTATACATTTCTAAATGGACCTACGTGATCAGTTCTTTTGGGTACATATCTAAAAACGTAAATATACAATCAAATGGTAACTATTTGCCTGAGGAGGTGTCAGTCTTCCTTGGGTCTCTGCCATTTTACACTCCAATGAGCAAATCACTGTTGATGGATTCCAACTGCTCCCAATTCTTAACCAATACTTGTTATTGTTCATCCCTAACCCCCCCCCCCACTCCGCCCGCATCTTTCTGGGGTGCTGGGAATCGTGCTAAGTACATATTCTACCATTGAGCTACATTCCTAGCCTGTCTTGGTTTTTTTGTTTTTATTTTTGGTACTGGGAATTAAACTCATGACCGTGCATTTGCCAGGCAGGTGCTGTGCTGCTGAGCCATATCCCAGGCTGTTTTTCTGTTTTTGTTTTTATGGGTATTCTGCAGAGTATGAAGTGGTGCCTCTGTGGTTTTCACTTGCATTTCCCTGGTTACTATCGGGGTTTTTGTTTTGGTCATTCCTTTGTAGAAGTGTCTGTCTGGATTTTTGCTCATTTTCAAATTGAAGTATTTTTTAGGTTTTAATTATTGAGTTGTAAGAATTTTAAACACAATTACCTTACTAGACATACACTTTAAAAAATTCTCCTAGTCTGTGGCTTTTTTTAAACTTCCTTGATAATGTTCTTCAATACATGATGTTGGTGATGTCTAATTTATCTATTTTTTCTTTTGTTGCTTATACTTTCAGTGTCACATTTATGAAATTGTTCCCAATTTCAAGTTCATGAATATTTATGTTTCAGCTCCTACAATTAGCTTTTTGTTTCATCTGGAGGTAAGTTTGCACCTAGCAAGACTTGGATATCCAGGTACCCCAGGCCCACTGTTCAAAGCAGACTAACACTTCTAATCTGTCAGTCCAGAAGGTTCTGCTACAGCTCTTCCCCATCCATACCACTATCTTGGATCTAAGGATGCTTATGCTTTTACAGCATCCATTGTCATCAATTAATTTTGCCTCTTCAATTTCAAATAAATTAAATTATACATACTAGTTTCTTGTGCTTGTATACAAAGAGAAAATTACAACGCGTCTAGTTTTTGTTTTTGGTCTTTTTGGGATAGGGTCTTGCTATGCAGTTCAGGCTGGCTCTGTAGCCCAGGCTGGCTTCAATCTCCCAACTATCCTCCTGCCTCAGTCTCCCAAATGCTGGGATTATAGGCACGCACCACCACAGCAGGCTCAACACAACTAGTTTTAAAGACCTTAAGTGGTTTCATTTGTCATTCTAGAATTGGGCAGCAGTCTGGGCTGAAAATTGTTGAGAATATGCCTCCAAAACACAAGGCAGTTTATATATAAAGCCAGAGACAGTGAAGTACATACTGAAAAGCACAGAAAACGGAAGGGAAGTAGAAAGGCCAGACTGGTTACTAGCCACGGTGGTGATCCAATTTGAACCTATTAGCACACGGACCAGGCTCCCCACCTGCCCTTGCCTATCCATACCCTTCCTGCTCAGAGACATCAGGCTCCTGTCATCTGCTACACAGCAAAGTCATTGTTTCATTCCAGATCACACAGCAGTAGTGGAATACTTAACCCTTACCCCTCTATCTCGTTCATTTTTACCCCTCTTTCTTGCTTCTTCATTACCCTCTATTTGATGTTTATTTTATATTTTCCTTCTGCAGGACAAAATTTTTACTGCTAAGTCCTTGGCATCTAAAAATCCCTTATACAAAGTAAGCACTTAATTAAAAAGCTGAATGAATGAACACATGACTACAAATTTGCTACACTTAACAACATTAATTAAACATGCTTCAGGAGGGCCTTTCTTAGCCAGCACTATGTTATTCAGCTTTGAGATACTGTATCTATTAATTACAGAGTTTTCAGAACTCAACTGAATTTCCCCCCAATTGTTACATTAAAACCATACTTGCACCCCACTACTTGGGAGGCTCAGTGAGAGCATCTCAAAACTTAAAAAGAGTAGGGGGCTGGGGATGTAGTTTAGTGGTAGAAAACCTACCCGGCCTAGCATGCATGAGGCCCTGGACTCAATGCTCAGTCCCTAAAAAATAGAACAGTGACCAAAAATAGCCACCTAATTAGATCGGTGATTGTTAACACTACCTATTTTGCTTGAAAGTCTGACTTTAACTGTTACTTCCCCCCATTCCCAACATCACTGCCAACTTAAATCTCTTTTTCACATTTGTTGGGAACATGAACAACATAATTAGTATCATAGTTCAAATCACACAGTTAATGAAGAATCACATAAAAATTAAGTGGTTGATTTTACATTAATCTCCTAAAAGAACTGTGAAGAAATATACAGCCATTTTTTAGAAAAAAGTACACAGATTTGCTCCTTTTTCCTTAGTGTGGAAGCCTGAGGTTTAAGAACAAAGACATTAATAAGAAACATATGGAAAAGATCAGCTAACAAAATGGAATCTTGGCCCAAGTGTGTCTGCCACGTTTTACATACCAATGTCTCAAATGATAGACTACATTTTTACAATGTTGCCAAAGCATCACTTGAAACACTATATATTTTTCTTAAATATGAAGTATAACAAAATAAATCTTGAGTTCTTTGTAATGCCTTAATGGAAAGCACTATTTGAAGAACTAAATTGAACTCCAGGATTTATTTTACCTTATTTGCTCAAGCTTGAAAGAATCTCCTCCAAAATGAACTCAGTATCTACTGCCAAGAGACACAAATTAACTCAGTTTAAATATAAAAAAAATGAGCACAAAAGTTTAGCATTTAAGCAAGTTCGTTGGCTATTGCTTAAGGAGAGACAGTTCAGTAAAATGAAATTTTCCAAATCTGCAAAGTAAAAGTAATAGTCATTGTGTAAACAATCTTATTCAATACTGTAAAATTACTTGTGTACTATTAAAACAGGAAAATTGGAGATGGACTTTGCGAGTGGAAGATACTACTGTTCATAGCAGAGATGGTCTTTATTTAATGGTCCTTAGCAAACATCTACTGAGTAGACAGCATTTGGGAGCAAAGTGAGAAAGGGGATCTCTAACAGAAAACATTAGCATGTTTATCGAAATGTGTCTTTAATCTGTAAAGCCAATAATAACCTTTTGCATTTTAAAAATAAACTGGATGTGAAAGGCTTTATGTTTGCAATTCTGATCCCCAATTTAACAAAGGGAACCTAGGTGAACACAGGAATTGAACAACCAGGACTGAAGATAATTCTGAGTTCCACCTTAAACTGCTGAGACACTGAGTTTGGTGTCACAGTGGAGCTTAATTTGAAGAATTCTTTGGCACCAAAATGAAAATAAAAACAGTAATCAGTACATGCTGTTTCCTTTAGTTCAGTTTGCCTTTCATATTGGAGGAAATTCTTGCCACACCTCAAACCAAAATTAAGGGGAAAAGAAAGAAGCCAGCCACATAAATCTGACCAAGAACACAAACATTTTAATTTTAATCCACCCAGTTTTGGATAATGAAAAGAAATACATAATTTTAATTCAACCCAAGTGTTTTCCAACCAGATTGTATTTGCTTAAATTGCTACAGTAATTCAAGCGACAGCACTGTCTGGACACAGAGTTACTGTGGATCTTTAAGAGACTCAAAGAATTTAGGAATTTCTGATTCATTTAAAGGATTTGCAAATTCATCAACCCCTGAAAACTAAAGCAATTTCAACAGGTATGATAACATAATTTTCAATTTTTAAAGAACAGTTAAATCTGTAACTTAAGATTACCCAACAAAACATTTTTTATTTTCAAATTTTGACTGAAAGGAAAGATTTTCAGGTCTCAGAATTTATCTTCTTTCTCAGATCTCTTTCTCTCTCTCAATAGTTTGAGCAGTGCTATGAGTCTGGTTGCAGGGAAGACAGAAATTTGTACAAATTTCACTGAAAAGCTCAAAATTTCTTGACTAAATCCCTGGTATAGAATGTTTTTATTTTCAGTTACCTCTTTCTCAAAAGCATGGTGTGACTGCTTTATCCAGTCTGTTGAAGAATCTGGTTACTTGGGTTTAAGTTAAATACAAAATACATGTAGTATGGATGAAAATAATGTAGAAACTTAAGATATTTCTAATAGTGACAGAATTTACATAATTAAATTTAAAATTATTTTGGATAAAAACTAGAACATATACTAATATTTTGTTTCTTACAAATTAGTTTATATAGCATACCGATAAAACAATTACATTCTTAAAATGTTATACTTTTGCTTTATAGGTATTCCAGAACTAAATAATTTCTAACTCATTTTTATGAATAATTTTCATTAGAACCTTTCTTGAAAGCTCGAGTTTTTTTCTAATGGAAATACCAGAACATAGAAACCTTTATTGCATCATTTAATATGGAAAAATCACATTAATGGGTAATTTTTCAAAACTGGTAATATATATTTTACCTAAAATTTTTTTCACATTTGTTTTTTCCCTAGTAGACAAAAGAAAAGTGAAGAATAGAGTATACTGTTATAGAGGAATAGTCCATAGAAAACAGAAGAGCCAAATCCTGTATCGTTAAATAAGTTATCATGGTGAAATAAATGCCCAGAGATAATCAAAATTAGTAGAGAAAAGAATTTCTAACAAGATGCAATCTGTAACTTATTAATTCAATCATTCAGAAATCACCAGTGTGAGCTGTCCTGTATTCTGTTAAAGATCACAGCTCAGGAAATGACTGATAGTGAGTCCTGCTGTTTGCTGTGAGTTTTCCGAAAGACACTGAGGCATAGATTGCATAATATGAAAAGCAAAAGTGAGAAAAACATGCTAGCAAGTGGCTGAGAAGAGATCACTTGGAGAAGAAGACGATCATAGTTTCAGAGAAAATTATCCTGAGGAAGAGGGAGAGGAACAGTAAATAGACAAATGGATGGAAACAGGGTGGCTTCAGACCAGAAAACTGCACTTAGTCAAGAGTGAGGACAGGGTGGCACGACAGGGTTACAGACATGGGAGCAATATTTGAAATGAATTCAAATTTAGAAGAGAAATCGGTCTTCTGGCAAAGCTCTTCTGAAAAACTTTTCTTCTTCTCGTCCAGTCCACGTGTGCAGTACGTCATGTTTACGCTGCCCCTATGGAGCTGGTACGTGGGCAGAACACATCTTAACTCCTTTTTAACCCTGCTTGCTCTCCCTCCCTCCATCTCCCCATCTGCTTCCCATCTGAGAACGCTCTATCTCCCTACTTCCTATCATCTAGCTTTTACTTTGCTCTTCATTATTTGGGTTTGTGATATTTGAACTTGTGTGTCATTCAAGAAAAGCCTTTCTCCTTTTCATGAAGGCCAAAGGCAGGCAACACGAAAACCCCCTTTATTTTCAGAGCAGACCTAGGAATGAGGTTTTGATTCTAAGTCAAAAATATGTAAGCAGTATAGAGAACGAAGATATCATCTTGATATCCTTTTAGTCTCAACAATTTCTCATAATGATTGCTCATGTTCTAGACACAAGGATAGAAACATTCAGGGCAAATGACCATGAGCAAACCTGTTTGCAAAGTTTATGTGTAGAATAGCCACCCTCAGTGGCCTGGCCCGGTACCCGGGCACAGCTCCATCTTGCAGCTGCAACCTGTGTATTTTGGGAAGAAACCTGATAGCACTCAACTCCAGGGGCTATCATGGGAATGAAATAAATGCTTAAAACCTTCATGTGCTATACATCATAATAAGTGTAATGAAATCCTATCAGATTATACATAAAATATCAAATGAGTAAGAGATACAGAATTTCCTAGTTACTTCTGCTCATTTCCCAAGTTTAGATCAAATTATGTCTACGAAACAACTCCAAGCCAACCCCAAGCAAAGTCAAGCCAGTGGTATGGCCCATCTCTACCATAAATCCTTACTCTCTGGCATAACTAGAGCTTCTTCCTATGATGTCTTTTTCACCACTGATCTGTTTGTTCTCTATAGGGGAGACTATGTCTTCATGTCCTCTTCATTTCTGTGCTTTGTACTGATTTAGTGCACACCTACAATCCCAGGGAGGCTGGGTCAGATGGATTAATGTGAGTTTGAGGCCAGCCTGGGCTACATAGTGAGTTCAAGGCCTGAACCACAGAGTGAGACCCTGTCTCCAAACAAACAAAAACAACAAAAAAAAGCAACAACAACAAAAAAGAAATGATTCAAGACAATTGCAAACTTGGGGCTGGGGGTTTAGCTCAGCGGCATAAGCACCTGCCTTGCAAGCAGGCGGTCATGAGTTTGATCCCTGGTACCGATAAAAATGAAAAAGACAAAAAAAAAAAAAAAAAAAGAAGAAGAAAAAAAGACAATTGCAAACTGAAGTAATCCAAATTGCTGATATTTGCAAAGTGCTTTCCTAAGCACACTGATACAGTACCTATTACAGTAAATGATAGCAGGTAAATGACAGCAAGCCAAACAACCCCAAGCGGAGCTTTCTGTCAGCATGGAAAGCTGGCTGTTCTGAAAACTACCCTTTGAGATGCAATGACAACACAGTCTCTACACTTCTCCTCAAAACTCCCTCTGCTTTACCCATGAACACTCCAGTATGCAGATCGTGGCTCAGACACATGCATTTACTAAAGTAAGCACTCATACCCAGAGTAGGAAGTCTTTTGACCAGAATCTAGGTGCTCTAGATTTTGTTTTTACTGGTCCTATTTTGTGCCTGTCAACAGCTACTCACCATTTCTCTAACACCACTTAGGAATAATCTTCACATTGTTTCATGAGAACCCTAACATTCTTCCAAAGTCTAAGTCAGACACTATGATCTCTATGGAGCACATGGAGAAGGAAAATGTATATCATATATTCAGATTGGCAAAAAGAAACTTCATGAACCCCAAAATCATGTAGAATTCAGGCAATCAAACCATTACTGTTTGCCATTTTTTTATAGGTAAGGATAAATATGCTGAACTATTTTATCCTACCTTCTTGACTAAAAAAAGTAAGCAAAGTATCCATAAAAAATAATGGGATAAGGTTTTAGAGTGTTGAGGGAAGCATACAGAAAGAATAATCAGGAGGGAGAGAAAGGGAGCAGACTAAGGGGAGCAGCCTGGCACCCCTGGAGGCTGCGCCCGAGGATGAGACAGATCTGTTTGTCATGTTTCTTTATTTACACTCCGCTGAGTCAGGCTGACAGTACGTGAGAAACTGGGGTAAAGACTGCAGGAATGTTCTAGGTGTGAGGGCCCAGAACAGCGAGGGAACTAGCAGAGAGCACGGCAATTATCTGTGGGAGCTGAGCTGGTAAAAATGATACGCGGAGTAGGCATAAGGGATGGAAAAGAAGAAAAAAGGATGAACATATGTTAGGTCCCACCGGAGCTGGAAAAGTCTTGCGGCTGGAGTGATAGAGTGTGGGATCCTCAAAATTGTGGTACTGGTCACACCCAGCCCAGGACCTGGGTATGTGGGAAGAACAGAGGATGAGAGAAGGGAAGAAAAAGGCTTCCAGGGTCTTTGAATGCTTGAGTAACTCTTTACAATCTTAAACATACACTATATTTATATTCTATGCACTGTTTGTTTCTGATGAGAAATGAAAATCACCGATGTTTCTCAAGCAGGCTTCTATCAGAGAAATCTTTTCTTATTGTACCAGAGACAAAAACGGCACAAGGGCTGGGGTGGGGGACACAGAGGGCCATTCTCGATGACTGGGCGTTTGTCATTTGACTATAGACAGTACTCCAGTAGGTCACTTCTTCCTTAATGGAGCCCTGGATTAGAAAGGTAGGGAAAAAAGATCTCAGGATAAAGGGTACCCCCCAATTATTTTTCTTAATCACTTATCAATACATGTACTCCATTTAGATAGAAGTTTTCAATTTTCAAAGTACATTTACAGTCATATCTCATACGATCCTAACAACTACTAGTAAGATAAAAGATTTATTTTTGGAGATAGAATTCTTACTTTGTTGTCCAGTTCACTTCTGGGTTCAAGTGACCCTCCTGCCTCCACACAGCTGAAATTATTTTATACTGCCCAGTAACTGTAATTCTTGTTTTATTCATGAGTTAGCTATGTTAAATAGCAGGATGAAATACAGGTTTTCAGGCTTCTCGTTGAGGATATAATGCATCTTTAACTCCAACTTTTGGCACAAGCCGGTAGTAACTGCCTCCGAAGCCTTGGCCTTAGCAATCCTGCTTCACACAATGCCCCGGAGATGCAGAAGCTCCAGGGACACACAGGGTTAATGTGCAGTACTCATACCATGTCCCACTGCTGTCCTGTACTGCAGGGCTCTCTGCTTTCACTAGACCTTAAGCTCCTAGGAGACAGAGATTGCATGTTTCTGGAATTTCTGTATCTAGAACTTGACTCAAAAGCATCAGCAAAAAAAAAAAAAAAAAAAAGAAGAAAAATGTAAATGTCAATCGATTAGAAACCAAACTTTGTAGGATATATGTATGTACGTGTGTGCGTGTGTGTGTGTGTGTGTGTGTGTGTGTACTGAGATATGAAGAAGCTATTTAAGTAGAGTTGGAAACAAAATAGATTCTGGAAACTTTCATGAGGAAAATTTGAGGTAGACATGGACAAAATATACAAGAAGAAATATAACTATTTTAAAATACTTCAAAAAACAAAACAAAAAATTTTAAAATGAAAAAACCTTCAAATCATCACATGGAAGGTAGTATTTCATGCTCTTCCAAAGGACAAAAAAGAGTACCAAGAATAAAAGTTGTAGGGAAGAGGATTTTGGTTTAATACCAAGACTCTAATAGGTAAAAGCTCTGCAGCTGAAGTAAAAGTCTGTCTTTCTCCAGGAGAGAACCTCCCCTAAAGGATAACTAGCTGGCAAGAACACATAGCATTTACAGTGGAGGACGCACCAGACTGTAGCTGAGTATGTCGTGGTGTCATCATAAATCTGCACTCTAGGAAGCAGGTCCACTGGAAACTTAGTAAAGCATAAAAGGAGCTTAGTAAGAAGTCTAGACTACCAGACTTCTGACTCTGGCTCAGCACAGTATGTGATTTAAAAAAAAAAAAATTTCTACTTAATTGGTACACTAAGTTTGGTTTGAGCATTGCTCATTTTTCCTAGATATTCTTTTATATACAGATGTGGGTATAACATATTTCATATAACTGTCAATTTACATGACAATCTGTCCAAGTTTTATTCACATATCCGACAATATATTTCCTTTTCTCCTTGCAATAGGACAAAAAAAGAACATGAGCTTTTTAAGTACAGTATCTGTCCTTTTCTTCTTCTTTGGAGTTAAGGTATATTGCCAATATGAAATTTACCAGTGGGATGAAGAGTACGACCCAGTGTCAAATGAAGACTATGAACCACAATTCCAATTTAATCCAAATGTAGAATATGGAATTCCTTACCAGCATATGTTAGGCTGTGCCAGAGAATGCTTCTGTCCAATTAACTTTCCATCATCAATGTACTGTGACAATCGCAGACTGAAGACAATCCCAAATATTCCAACACATATTCAGCAACTCTACCTTCAGTTCAATGACATTGAGGCTGTGACGGCAAGTGCATTCACCAATGCAACTAACCTCAGAGAAATTAACCTCAGTCACAACAAAATTAAATCTCAAAAGATCGACTATGGTGTGTTTGCAAAGTTTTCAAATCTACTACAACTTCACCTGGAGCATAACGATTTAGAAGAATTTCCATTTCCACTTCCTAAATCTCTGGAAAGACTCCTTCTCGGTTACAATGAAATTTCCACACTGCAGACAAACGCCATGGATGAGCTAGTGAACCTGACCATGCTTGATCTCTGTTATAATCATCTGCAGGATTCCATGTTAACGGAAAAACACTTCGCCAAAACGGAAAAACTGATGCAGCTCAACCTCTGCAGTAACAGATTGGAATCAATGCCTCCTGGATTGCCTTCTTCACTTATGTATCTGTCTTTGGAAAATAATTCTATTTCTTCTATACCAGAGAAGTATTTCAGCAGACTTTCAAAACTTCATACCTTACGAATGTCACACAACAAACTGCAGGACATCCCCTACAATATTTTTAATCTTTCCAACCTTGTAGAGCTCAATGTTGGACACAACAAACTGAAGCAAGCATTCTACATCCCAAGAAATTTGGAACACCTGTACCTAGAAAATAATGAAATAGAAAGTATGTAAAACTTTATTAATCCTTACCGAGCAAAAAAATCTCATTTGACACTTTAAGAACACTTCAATAATTTATGCTTTACATATTGCTGAAAAGGGCTGTTTTGAAGTTGGCCAAGATAATGGCACCAATTGGTCACATAAAAGAGTATACTATTAGTTTTTATAGAATTTTCTTTTCTTTCTTTTTTTTTTTTTTTTTGTCTTTTTCGTTTTTATTGGTACCGGGGATCAAACTCATGACTGCCTGCTTGCAAGGCAGGCGCTTATGTCACTGAGCTAAATCCCCAGCCCCAGAATTTTCAATTAAATTAAATTATCATCTTGAATATTGAGAAATAGCACTAGAATATGTAAAGAAATATGAATACCTTCAGTAGTGGGATTGTAGATGACTTACTTAGTTTGTCTCTACCAAGAATATGTCACTCAAATACTTAGAAATTCAAATACTTAGAAAACTCTATAATTTTGTCATTCAAATACTTAGAAAATCCTGTAATTTTATAAAACTTATTTACAGTCTTAGCTCCTTTATCTGAACAGCATTAAAAATTAAACAATTCCACCTGTAAGTATTTTAGTAAAATTAATTTCCATAAAGTATAAACTCAACACAGAATCATGGCAATAAGGAAAGATTAATTTTTAATTTGTATTTTCCAGATGTCAATGTGACAGTGATGTGTCCCTTTGTGGACCCACTACAGCAGCACCACTTAACATACCTTCGTGTGGACCAAAATAAGCTAAAAGAGCCAATTAGTTCATATATCTTCTTCTGCTTCCCTCGCATACATAGTATTTATTACGGTGAACAAAGAAGCATCGATGGTCAAACAATACAACTGAAGACCCAAGTATTTGGGAGATTTCAAGGTGAGGAGGAGGAGGAAGAGGATCATGATGATCATGACAACCCTCATGTGAGTCAAGAGTCAGAAGAACACTTGGCGCCTCATTACTATGAAATTCAAGAATGGCAAGGGATTATATAGGTACACATTTATAACTTTATAAAATCTTATTACTCAATATAAATCTAAATATATATAGCTCAAAGTAATATATTTAGAATTATGTATTAGTATTACATTTAAGTTGCTGGTGGCAATTACATTATTACATAGGATTAGAACTTCCTCAAAATGATACAAACGTTTAGAAATAGAAATTAGAATGACGAGAACAAACACCCTAAATTTTAATGGCTCCTTTTTAAACCCACAAATATCATCATGCTGAAACAAAAAGGTGTCCCTGAAAAAAAAGTGTCACTTTTAGGGAGAGTAATGTTTCTAAGGGTGATGAAGGAAGTCGAACTGGCACCGAAGACCCTGAAGCCATGTTCTTTCAATTGCTATGAGAATAATACACTGCAGGAGGGTACATTAGTGCAAGAACAGCCACTCCTTAAGGAAAACTCTTTTAACCGTCTCCATAAAGATCTCACACTTGGAACTGTGATTGTCTCACTATGACATCCACCCCACTGAGTCAGCCCTTAGAGCACAGAACGGTAGCTTTGACTTTTCATGAGGCCACCACGCTATGTATCCAGGGCAGAGGATTAATGACAGCAAGGGTTCTCAGTGCTCTCTCTCAGGGCACCGAGGCAGAAATGCTGAATCTGGGTAACTAAAAATTATCAGACTATTTTACTACAATCTGTATTTTAGCAAAGTTCAGCAAATGCTCAAAACAAATTTTTATTGTGCTTCATTTTAACTGGGACAAATATTTTTACAGTATACTAGAGGAAGGCCTGTGTTTGGTTACATAAAGCTTCGCTAATAAATAACTGCTTTGTTCACAAGGTTAAGTGAATGTTAAGAAAATAAAGTTCTTTAGACATCACGGAACCCTTCTGTTTTCCTAGCAGAATGCATTAGAAACACATACGCTTATAGTTAGTGTTTTTTTTACATAGTACTGAAGCTGAATATAATTCATTTAAAATCTGAAGGACAGACAGATTTTAACATTTTTTCCTAAGACCTTAAAGCTGATTTATATTCTTTGATCTGTCATTTTAAAGTCACTTAAGTATGCCTTAGAATGGAGACTCTAAACACTGACACACTCTCTTGACTTACCAGACAGAATTGCTCAGCCAAGGGATAAGTAATCTGGGATTGCCTAATAGGAAATCCCAAACACAGGCTAACAATTCAGACAATATGCAAAATTCAGACAGGTGAAACTGTATTGCATCTCTGAGCAGGTTATTAGCATTACGAGGAGCAGAATATTCATCTAGTCACGTAGCAACCTTGGTAATCCAGAATGAACATGAACAAATTCCACTCACTAATCAACATCATCAAATCACTTGGTATATCAGGCTTACCAATGAGTGATCAAGAAATGAATTACAACCCAGTCATCCTGGTGCACCAGGGAAGGAGGAGGTACTCAAGGCCAGCCTGTAGTACACAGTGAGACCTTGCCTCCCAAAGGGAAAAAGATCACAATATGCAACTGGGATTTTAATGAGGAGACATCAAGGAAATGCAAGTGGAAACTGCGTGCAGTGAGATACAACTTCACACCCCTTATTAGGACAGCTGATATCAAGCGACGACAGGCAGACGATAAGTGCTGGTGAAGGGATCTCCGGAGAGGTTGCTGCCCCCTTATGCTAGCTGATAGGAGTCTAAAATAGTACAGCACTTCAGAAAAGTAGCTCTTCAAATGCTGGAGTCACGTGTGAGTCAGCAATTCTGCTTTCAGGTATGTATGTAATTCAAGAGAACTAAAAATACATTCATGCAAAAATCTGTACATGAATGCCCACAGCTGTAGTATCTAAATGAGGAAGCCACCCAAGTGCTCATCGGTAGAGAACGGACAACACAACGTCACTTACCCACAAAGGGAAAATTATTCAGCTACGAAAAGACACACACACACTACAGCTTTGATGAACTCTGACAACATTATGCTTAGCGAAGGAAGTCAGTCATAAGGGAACACACTGTTGCATTATTTATGTGAAATGTCCAGAAAAAGGAAACTTGTGACATAAAACATTATTGCCTGCCTAAGGCACAGAGATAGGGGATGGGGAGAAATGCAGAATAACTGCTACTAGGTACAGCATTCTGTTAGGGCTGACAAAAATGTCTGAAATGACTGTGGCAATGGAAACAAAAAAGCCTGAAAATACTAAAAATAATTCAATTGTACATTTTTAAAAGGATAACTTGTATGAATGTGAATTAGCTCATGAAAGCAGGTATGGGGCTGGGTGTCTAGCTCAGCGGCATAAGCACCTGCCTTGTAAGCAGGCGGTCGTGAGTTCGATCCCCGGTACCGATAAAAATGAAAAAGACAAAGAAAAAAAAAAAAAAGAAAGCAGGTATTTTAAAAATGTAGCTTAACAATAACAAAACTAAAATCAGCTGGTGTAGTGTTATATGCATGCATGACCCAGCACTGGGGAGGCTGAGACAGGAGAAGCTTGGAGCTGGCTACATAGTGAGTTCAAATGTAGTGTGTACCACATAGTGAGACACAGGAAAGAAAGAAAGAGAGAGAGAGAGGAAAGAAAAAACAAGAATAAATCACTTTAACAAAGAAGAAATAAAATTATGAACTGCAAGCAAAAAAACTACACAAACAAGGATATCATAACTACTAATTCTGGCCAGGGACTGGTGAAATAACAGAATGCCTCAGAAAAATAGTGAAACTTTGCTCTTGCCTGGCAAGTGCGAGGTTGTGAGTTCGATCCCCAGTACCTAAATAAATAAATAAGTAAAAATAAGTGACACTTTAATATGTGATAGGAAGTAAAGCAGTGGAAATGGAGAGAAAAGCTCCTGGCTCAAGTTACTATAAAGAAATAATAATTTCTTATATAATTTAAAAAGTAAAAATTTTCCAATTTTTAAAATTCTGGGGCTTCTATTTTACCTCCTCCTTAAGTGTTAAAAGAAAATACATTTTAAGTCTCAACAACAGCCTCAGCAAAGAATAGATTTTCACAATTTAGCACTTCAAAACAAGGAATCTGGTGTGGATACATGGAGGAAGCCTGACCACCCCCTAAGCCAGGAGACTCCAGGCTGCTGAGCTTCTCTGAGCCTCCTCCCTTTCGTACAAGGTTGTCAGAGACGGCGAGCAAGCTGTCCATGCCAGCCTCAGGTACCCAGTGAACCGCAACTCCTGCTCAGGGCATCGGGACCCACTGCCCCCGTGCTGGGGCCACACTCTGGCCACGGGCACTGGCTTCCCTCTCCCAAGGGGACACACGGGGGACTCACAGGCCAAACCAAGTTCTTTCCAAAGTTCTACTCATACAAAAGGTTAGTGAACAAGGGCGGCTCCTTGGTCTGCTAAGGATTTCAGTAGGGAGCCCCCGTCATACCCCCACCACACACCAGTACAGGGTCACTCCTGGAGAGCCGGGCTTCCTGCATCTCTCCCAGGTCCCACAGCTGCTCATCCACCCACTCCTTGGTCCCTACTGAGCGGTCAATCGTCTATGGAAAGAATACCTCAACTCTGCTTTGCTCCCCCTGCAAAGGTGTATGAGTAAAGGCACCACAAAACCCCTCCAGTTCACTGGAGATGCAGGCTCCACTGCGATGCAGCTTAACAACTATTTTTTGTTATTTGAAAACGCCCCAGGGAACTCAAACTCACACTAAGTATTCCTCAAACATAAAATAAACAAAAACTTTAACGCTTTCCCTGGAAGAAATTGAACTACTACATCAAGATGGCACAGTCACCTGTACAAAGCTACAGACTACCCCAGCTGATTTAATATTTGTAACATGAAAAAAAAAATAACAATCCACCACAATTTAAAAATTCTCATTCTATTGCAAAGTACTTAGTTATGTTAGCCTAAATTGTGATTAGTAACAAAAATTCAAATCATACCATAAATGCAAGGTTAATCAATATATACAAATATATCACAAACACATATTTAGCTTTTAGAAAAGAAAAAAATGAAGGATGCTTCATAAATTTGCTCAAAGCAATACTAGCTGAGAATGTCTACCTTGTGTTTAAATCTTACCTGAAACACGACACATACATTTTCACTTTATGCTCCCTCAACTTTGGGGACACTAAACCAAAATGCAGATGTATGCATGTCACATGACACTTACCAGCTCCACAGGCGAGGGAAAAAAAGAAAGTAGAAGAAATAAACCTGTCTCTTTTCTGTACTCTTTTGTTGTGGTAGTGAAGAATTCATATGTCCACAAGGATGGCTTAAACTAAAACCCTGGTTTCCTGATTCCAAAACTAATTTCCTCCTAAATCCTGGAAATTATAAGAACAGCTGAAAATGAAATTAAATCATAATATCCAATGTTCTTATATTCTCCAATTTCCTCGATAAATATAGCTATGCCTAGTTATAAACTATGCCTTGCTATAAGTTGGTCTAATTATAAATATCACATCAAGGACACATCTTTATCACTTTACATATTTAGGTTATAAATTCATTGTGAAGAGATTTAGTCACTACTAAGAAAAGCTAAATTCACAAGTAAAGTACACTTCTACCATGACCCCTTTCAAGTTACAAGGGAAGTGCCAACTCCCTTTAAATTCACCCTTAGGTTCTCATTTGAACAAATGACATGTTCAGGCAACAACGTGGAATTCTGAAATGGAGTCAATGATAGCCATACAATCCTAGCAAATGAGATTTAAAAGGATCGAGGTACATAGCCACTCAGCAGGGCCATCTTGTCCCCACACTTCTGACTTCTGACATCTGGCAGCATCTGGAGGCTTTTCGATGCTCACAACTGGAGCTGCTGCTACTGGTATTCAGAAGGCAAAGGAGATGACCCCCTCCCTACCCAGGGAAGAATAGCTGGGTGTCAGAGCATCTGCTTACCCTGCTTAGCGTGCCCAAGGCTTCAGTCTAGCACTGAAGGGGGGCGGATTGTCAGGTCCAAAATGTCAAGTGTGGCAGCTGAGACACTACATGTGCCACAGCAAGGACACTCAGCCCTCTCTGCCACCCATGAGCCATGTCACCCCAGCATCTGAGCATCAGATAATGGTTGTTCTTTCTAAACTAAAACCTTACCTTAGTATTCAGGCTAAATTGCAGTGTTGGCACTTTGCAATATGGTTTAGGCACTCAGGCTCTGAAAAGTTTGCCATCATAGCTCTGTAGTAACTAGATGTCAAATCCCAATCTAACAGATAAAGAACTGGGGCCTAACATTCCCAGAAAAGGCTTATTTCCAAAACAGAGTTCCATTCAACACATTTTTGGTTTGTTTACTGCTGAGAAACAGGAGGAAGAGCCACAGACTAATGGCACACCTTTAAAATAACATAAAAGCCCCTGGAAGGCATCAAGAATAATACAACCAGGTCACCTAGGTGGGCATGGTGGCACACACCTGAAATCCTAGCGCTTGGGAAAGCTGAGACAGGAAGATCACTGTGAGTTTGAGGAACCCTGAATGGTACAGTGAAACCCTGCCTCAAAAGAGCCAAAAAACAAAAACAAAACAAAACAAAAGTGGTCATCTAAAAGAACTCTATAGAAAAAAATGCTTTGGGGCCGGGGTTTAGCTTAGCAGTGTAAGCACCTGCCCTGGTAAGTGCGAGGTCATGAGTTCGATCCCTGCTACAAAAAAAAAAAAAAAAAAAAAAAGAAAGAAAAAAGAACAAAAGAAAAAAATGCTTTCATTTTTTAGTCCTGTACAAAATATAATACTTCCTTCTAGAATCGAAAAACAACTTTAGTAGCAAACATACTACACTGGGAACTGTGTACAAAAAGTCTGCTTGAGCAACCTATTCAGGACGCCCTGTCTTAGGAGCTATTCCTATTCCTCATTTCTCCCTTCCTTCTCTCCAGGAAATTTGTCCACTCAAAAACAAAAACAAAAACACCAGTTTGGTTTTGCCTAAAGAGTGGCCCTAGGCCACTTTGCCTTGGCTCCTGGGAGGTGATTTATGTCATTTCACGTAGGTTTGCGTCTGCTGAGTGTGCCACTGGCTACATCTAATATTTTAGAAAACTCAACCGTGTGATTCAGGCCACGGTTTGGGGTTTTTCAGTATCAGTTCACAATGAAACATTCCATCCCCACACCTATGTAGTGAAGCCCCCAGTTAAAACACTGAACACCAAGGCTGGATGAGCTGTCCTGGTCAGCAATACTCGTGTCCCCTCAGTAGTCACGTCTCTCACTGTCCCTTCACCTCTCCAGTTCCTTCCTCGAAGCTCCAGTCACAGGCAACCAGTTACAAATTTTCTGGAGTGACTGTCCAATCAGGCCCCTCCCCCCAATTTTCCTGGAACACCCCCCTGCTGCCTTCCTCTCTCTCTATTCAACCCAGAAGTCTGCAAGAGTGCATCCTCTTTGACCTCAACCAGGCAGCGTCCGTGCCTCTCCCAGATACCAGAGTCCGGGGCACATTTCTGTGCTGCAAGCCAAGTTTGCATTCTGGTTGCTTGCTTGCTGCCTTCCCTGGTGACCTGAAGACCAAAAAAGGTCCTTAAAGGAAGAATCTACTTGTCTATAGTTCCACCCCAGAGCTGGTGCTCCGTAAGCCTTTATTGAATAAATGGATGATAATAAATTGTATTTGCTGGTTGCAACTTTATTTTTTAAAGAAAAATTTAAAAGCCCAATAAACATGATACAGAAATTTAAAACAAGATGGTAGGAAATTAACAATGGTTATTATACGGCATATTGTTATCTTCAAAATAGTTGCTCAGATTATCAGATATAGGCATGAAAAACAGATCAAACAATATAAGCACTGTTCCTTTTAATGAACTAACAGAACTGATTGTACAATAATTTTTAAGAAAAAACAAAACCTACAAAGTAATTTTCTAAAGTACAAAGCATCAAATTGTACTGTTTGTTTTGTACAAGTACCAGCTCCCCCCATGAATGTTACTACTATGTACTACAAACATGTACTAATAAAAATAAAAATGAAAAAATTGTACCATCTATTCAGGTTAATTTTCAACATCCTGTTAAACTGACATATAATATAAAACAAAAATCTGATTTATTGTTATGTATATCAAAGACTTAAAAGTTTTATGTTAAAAATAAATCTAAAAGATTTGCAAAACTTTTATTATACCTTAAAGCCATAAAATTAGCCATTTATCTCAATCAAAATCACAGAATACCACAACCAAATTTAAGTCATATTCATATAAAAATATGTATTCAAATCTTAGTTTATCTAAGCTTTGATTCAAAATGCTCTAAAATTTTGACTAGTAGAGAATAAATTAGCATTCTGTCATTTTTTAAAATAATATATATCTCCATATTTGTTAAAACTTTTACTCTATAGAAGAAATATTATTTGATTGCTAAAAGCACCAAAAGAGTAAAAGTGAATTATAAAAACTCTTTAAAGATGCTCGTATGATATTAATACTTTAACAATTTGTATCAAATTTAGTATTTCATATCAAATTTAGTATTAAAATTAGCATTAGAATAATTTTATACAGTTTCTTTTGGTCAGCAAGCGAAAGTATTTTTTACTATCAACCCTAAAATTATAAATGAAATTTGTTTTAGAAAGCTAGTTCTCATACTTCAAATTTTGTCATATGTAAGTTAAGGGAAAAATGCAATTAAAAAACTAAAGAACGAAGCTATGAAATAATCTGTGTTAAAACCAATTTTTAAATAGGACATTTCTGGCTATGCATTAATTACAGAATTAGGACAAAAGGTTTAGTCTTCCTAAAATTAAGAGCATAAACATTGCTCTAGTTGGTGGGTTATTTCATTAAAAACAAAACCAAAACAAGTTTTATTGCTTGGGAAAGCACCAATAGGCAAAGCATGATTTTATAAGTGCATCATTCTCATTAACCAATTTTCACTAACAGAATGGAGCTTGTTACTAAAGAACACGGTTTGTAGTCCAGCAGAGGAGTTCAGGGCAGCAGTTTCAGCACGATTCTCTAGTACAACACCCTGCGTTTCACCCTAGAGAAGGAATGTTGGCGAAGCTCTCTACCACATGGAAACTGCTCTTAAAGCTGCTGGGCCCTGGAATTGTGTTCAGCAGTCTGAAACCAACCTTCCACTTTTCTCATTCACCCTCCCACTCGGGGCTAGTGCACACCTATTGAGGAAAACCAAACAACTTCAAAACAGACACAACGGTAGGCTTGCTTTTCATATATTATTTTAAGTATTGTTTGTTATAGTGTGATGCATCTAAGTCTTAAAGGGAAAGGACATTTCTAACATGTGTAAGTTTCAGTTACCTTGATCATTAATTTTTAACAAGTACTTTTCATGTATTATTACGTAGCATCAGTACCAAACTGGCAAGAAGTAGGTGCTGCAAAACTCACAAACCCATTCCAGTCTTGGATTTTTGACAAACTGGCATCTATAGTGCAACATCAGCATCTGAGTGGCTCTGCTTCAAGGTACTTAAGAAGAAGTCTGAAATGTATACCCAGATTGACTGCTGAGCCCCCAAGAATCTTCTCTAATACATTCCCCAAAATTTCTTGATTAAAGTTCTACATTTCCTCTAGTCCGCAATCCTGTTGTTATAATTTTCAGAGTGACAGACTATTAAATTTACAAAAATAAAAGATGTATGGGTTCTCCAGTATTATGTACCACCTAAAAGTAAAAGTTAATGACTCCTTTTCAAGAAGTGAAATTTCAGGTTTAAGTTTGAAAACTTTTCTTGGAAATTGTTTCTTTCATACCACTATAAATCAAGAGTTCGTATAAGGCAGCCGTTGAAATATGATATTTTTAACTCACATGAGACAGGATCTTGTGTCTTCACTTTAACTATTTGTACTACAGGTATCCTGAGAAGATTTCAATTGCATATGAGTCCCCACACTCAGGGCACTTAATTATTAAGAAACATAAATTATCAACGATTCTTGGATTTTTGCGAGACAAATAAAACTTTCCCAAAGAATTTTTCAGAATGTTCACTGATACACAAAATCTGTTAGTATCTAATTAAAGATCACTAAGGGTTAAATACTTTTTCTCTGGCCCCTACTGCGTACACCCTGCCAAAAACATCCTCTAAGCTTTTAAATATTGCTTCGATGGTCTGCATTTTTATTTCCAGGGAATAAGAGAGTTTTGTTTCACAATAAGCAGGATCCTCGTTTATTAACTTCCAGTCACCTTGATTTCTGCTGAGATGAAGACCGTGCGGCCCACCCTCCTCTTGTTACTGTTCATGCCTCTGACCCAGCCAGCACCCCCAGCGCAGCAGGACTCACGCGCTGTCTACGAGTCCGAGTACGGAGCAGATAATTTTGAAGAAACCCTATATTACTATGAGGATAACTACCAAGATGGAAAGCATATCAAGGTACTTTATTTCTACTCTGAATTTATCTTCTAAAATAGTACCCATTTAAATGCATGCTTTTGTTTTTCATGACTGTCTGATAAGGTGAGGGGAAAGCAAAAGCATTTTAAATGATTAAGGATTTCTTAATTGTCCCTAAGATGATGCGTTTAGTACATCCCTACCTTCCAAATTAAAAACGTTATCTTTGGTAATCAAACAGTAGCTACAGTAACCAAAAACAAAATTTAAAGAAAACTAGACTTTAAGATGACCCCTGTCCAACTACAATTTTTGTTCAGTGATACTACACAATGATACTATATTTACATAAAACCCTGTCTCAAAAATAAATTAGGAGAAATGAAGATGAATTATCAGGTTATTTTAGAAAAAAATGGTTCAATGAAATAAACTGAAAAGTACCCATGATACTAACTATACACAGTACAAAAAAAAAAAAAAACCCACCAAACTATTTAATAATTTAATATGGGGTTTTACCAAGGGTCTGTAACCGTCACTGAGTTAACACTGCAGGGATAACTTTTGTACCACAGCACTCACAGCCTCCTTTATAGGCAAAGTAAGTACTTGTGGTTTTCTTGGCACACAGAAAAAATGTTGGGTAAGGAAAAAGCTAGCATAGCATATAAACTATTGGTTGCCCACTGTGTGTCACACACACGTACAATGGAAAATAAGAAATGTAGATGGATACATGATACTGATTGCTTCAGAAGTTCTCTGTAAATTAGATAGCAAGATTTTTATTGAATAATTAACATTGCTTTTCTTTTAGCACACAATGAATAAATGTTAATATCGCAGCATCTTCCAACAGAATTGTTAACATGGTGGTATTATTTCTGCCCTATAATTAAGATAAAAAATAGGTATCTCTGGTCACGAATTAAGTTTTTTACAAAAAGCACATCAGAACATAAACTACTGGCTCATTTGGATATCTTGAATACAACAATTACTTTTAAGAACACTTTCAAAATTCCCTGGTCTAAAAGGCTTAGCAATGACCTTCCATCTGCAATTCCTTTTCAGGCTCCAGCAGTTTCTCTATGGTAACATCAACGTGTCCACTAGTGTATGTGGAATGGAGCACAGTTTACGGGACAGAGTGTGGAGGGATGCGCAGGAAGCACACAGATGGGAAATGAGGGTTGAGGGCCGGGTCTGGGGCCATGACTGTGGTCAGGTGCAGCAAGCTTATGCAGGGCAGAGAGCACAGGACCCCGCCTAAGACGCTGCAGTTTACTGGCAGAAACTCACTCTCTGAGAAGAGGAGAGAGGCTACACAGGAAGGATTCTATTCGGTGTTACAAGCCGACACCAGTGGTCCGAATACGGGGAGAGACTAGAATCCCAGGCCTCAGAGGCCAGGACCCGGAGGCCGGCAGGTAATTAAAAGCCACCCCCGGGGAGACATTAAAAGAGCTCACTCAGCGCTTCACAAATGTGGTGTGCTGGACCTCTAAAGTGGTTTCAAATGACAAAATCTGATCAGAGGAAGTAAGTTCAGACAAGAATCATGTGGGATAGTTTCACTTCAGAAAAACTCATTCACATTCAGAGAATTCTCTCCAGCTCCCATTTGGAATTTCTGTATGTTCAGTATTCACCAAGTATTGAGTTTAGTCACTGGAAATCTAAAAATGAAAAAGACCTGGTTCTTTCATTTAAGAAACGTGCTCTAGAGTAAGAACCTTAATGTATCACGAAGTAGAACTATGTATAAAATTCTAATGAAGCACAAAGGAAATACCAGTAATTACGAATCAGAAGTACTATCTGTGATCCAAGTTTACAATCAAATTTATGTTATCACACCTAATATCAATATTATTTTTCTAACAGGAAGATGTTCCTATGATAATACCTGAGAACAGTTTTCAGTTACAAAGAGATGACACTGCCACACCATTACCCCCCAAGAAAGAGAATGATGGTAAGTCATTGGTATTTTGATGGTATTTTACCAAATAATGATGGTATTTTATTATCTCACTTTTTCAGAAGAATCTTTTTAAAATGTTATAGTGGAACTTTGTTCCTTTTAGTAATCAAACACTGCCTCAACATACAGTAATTACAAAGTAGAATTTTCACCTCCAGTGGTGGACTCAAACAGCTATGTTAAAGTCCACATCATCTGCCATCTCACCTCCTGAATGAGACGTGTGGAACAAGAACTTTCAAACAATCAAAGCTTGGCCCAGGCTTAACCTCCAAAAACCGTTTCTGTCCACAAAAGATTATGTTGAAGCATAATTAAAGACTGATTATTTGCCAGATACAATGTACTGCCTTAGCATAAGGTCAACAAAATGCAATCCTTACCTTCAAGAAACTCATGGAAGAGAATAGGTTATCATAAATAATGACAATACATCCATTTCAATTAAAACGAGAAAAGTCACTACAAAGTAAACGACCAGTACTACTTAACAGTTAAGTGTTTGGTTTACTCTTGCTCTATGACAAAACATTTTTACTTCCCATAAAAACATGGGAAGAAAAGAGTTCTCTAATTTCTGCTTTGCTAAAATACAATTGAAACGAACCAAAATAGAAAACATCTCTTTAAAAATTTAGGATGTATTTTTGGGGGCTGGGGACTTAGCTCAGCGGCATAAGTGCCTGCTTTGCAAGCAGGTAGTCGTGAGTTCGATCTCTGGTACGGATAAAAACAAAAAAGACAAAAAAAAAAAAAAATTTAGGATGTATTTTTAGTCAAATCAGATTTGGGCAGATGGAAAGACATTCTTTGTTTTTGGAGATGATTCAATATCATAAAGATGCCATTTCTCTTTCCGTTTATAAATTTTAGACAATTTCACTAAAATTACCCAGTTTGGTTTGGTTAGCCTGGGCTACAAAGTGAGGTATAGTCCAAGCCTGAACTGTGTTGTGAACTCTGTCTCAAAAAGAAAAACAAAACAGAAACACAAATATATATACACAGAAATTTTAGTGCGTAAAGTATCAACTCAATTCATGAAAGAAAAAAATATTTTTAGCCTTTAAAAAAAAAGATAGAATAAAATCCATACCTAAGATCATAAACAGAAAAATAAACTGCAAATGAATTAGCAACATAAAAGGGTAAGACGAAATCAAACAAGTACTAAGAGACACTCTGAGTATAGGGTGCTTCAAAAATCTAAAGATCTTGAGGCTGGGGATTTAGCTCAGTGGCACAAGTGCCCACCTGACAAGTGCAAGGTTATGAGTTCGATCTCTGGTACAAAACAAACAAACAAACAAACCCAAACTAAAGGTCTTGATAGAAAAGATCAACAAATTTTACTCTAAGAAAATAAACCTTTAAATGGCACAAATCATATTCAAAGTCAAACAAAGTGAAAACCGGGGAGCATATTTGCTACAGAAAAAGAAGAAATATCTCTAATTATAAAGAACTCTTAGAAACTGACAAAAACTCATGAAAAACAGACAATGAAGACAATTCACAAAATTATTTTCAAATGTTCCTTAAACATATGAAAAGATGATTAACCTTATAATTAGAGAAACACAAAGGAAAACTATATTGTACCATGTTTAACTTATATGATTGGTAAAAATAAAAGTTTGACAATATATTAACATTTTGTGGACAAAGTTGTAGCAAAACATTCAAATTGCTGCTAGCAGAAATGCATATCAGTACATTTTTTTGACAGAAATCTGGTAATATCTAACAAAAATCACTCTGAAGAAAAAGTACAAGACGGTATTTACAACATGCTGCCTTTCACGGAAGAAACAGGGATATAAGCAAATTTATATGCACCTGCTCATGGGAGTGAAAAGAAACTGGAATGGTAATCTAAAAAAACTGAGATGGGTTGGAGCTCAAGTGGCAGAGTGCTCGCCTACCATGTGCCAGGTTCTGGGGTTAGCCCTCAGCGCAACAAATAAACTCAACAACAAACAGAACCTGAGACCAGTTATTGACAGTAGAAAGAATGGGCAGAGGGGAAACAGGTAAAGACAAACTCGGAATGGGATGTGTTTTTTTCGCTGTGTACATTTATGATGTGTTTATATACATATATAGGTTATATGCATGCATACAGCATATGCATATACACATATGTTAAGTGTATTACTTATGGAGAAAGAAAAAGACACACTTATTTTTCATAGCTCTACTGCAAGAGCCTAGAAGCAATGATATGCCGAAAGCCATGAGCACCCTCAGCAAGTGAATCTTTCATTCTAACATCATTCTCCACTGAAAGGAATTAGTGCTTCTTGAAAAGAGCTGATTTCAGGGTTGGGGCAGAGAAAAGGCAAAACTGGCCAGGGTTTTCTTGTCGTGTCAGAAAACAAGGAAGTTCTCAAAGAACAAGGGGCCCACTTTACACATTTAAAAATATTTATCAAAATATATGGCCAGCTGGTTTTTGACAGAGTGCCAGCACAACTAAATGGGGAAGAATAATAATTTCCATAAAATCATGTGGAAACCACCATAGTCATAAGAAGAAAAAAATCTTGACCTTTCTTGACACCATCTATAGAAATAAATTAAAAATGGGCCCCATATCTAAATGTAGTTTATACTACACGACTTCTGGAAGAAGAAAAAAATGAAATATTAATGGTGATTAAAAGTTTGAATCTTAAAGTGTCCCCGAAGTTCATATGCTGAAGGTCTGGCTCCAGCAGACGGGCTGCAGAGAGGAGTCTGAGGAAGTTGGGTCATGGGCTGACCCTTGCAGCGGGTACTGGGACCCCAGCACCTTCCTCTCTCTCTGCTTCCGGGCTACATAAAGTGAACAGCTTTGCTCTGCTACACACGCCCCTCCCTGATGCTCTGCCTCACCACAGGTCCAAAGCCAACAGAGCTAAATAAGCACGGAATGAGGAAACGCCTGAAATTGTAAGCTGAAACAAGTCTTTCCACCTTTGATTATCTCAGGCATTTTGTCACAGTGGCAGAAAGCGGACAAACAGTGATAGACATTTCTTAATTATAACACACACACAAATCACATGAACTATAAAGGAATCATTAAAAATTTAATTGTACTTCAACTGTACTGAAAAGAAAACAAAAAGACAAGTTACAACTAGGGTAAAACATTCATAAAATTTAAATCTAACAAGTCATATATCTAGTATGCTCTTATAATTTGATAAAAGCACAAAAACCCAACTATAAAGTAGGCAAAACATCTGAATAGACCTTTAAAGAAAATTTATGGATGACAAATATGCATATAAAAGGATGCTCAACATCAATCATCTTTACAGAAATTCAAATTAAAATACAATGAGATACCACAACATACTCTACTTGAATGGCTAAAATTAAAGACTGACCACATCAAATGCTGACAAGGATACACGGCAACTAGAACTCTCACACACTGAATGGAAAAATGACATAACCCTTTGGAAAACAGTCAGAAACTTTCTTCTAAAGGTAAACATACACCATATTAAACCTAGTCACTCTACTTCTAGTTTAGAATGAAAGCATGAAGTCTACACAAACTTGTACACAATGTTCATAGCGGTTTTCTCTGAAATGGCCCAAACCTGGAAAGAGCCACATGTGCCTACAAACTGATGTGTAAACTGCATACAGAATCTGCCCCCCAAAAAGGTATATAACAGGAAAAGACCAACTTGTATAAATATTTTAATACTAAATTTACTGAGACATTATGAGATTAATACAGGCTATCTTTGACCTCTGTAATTACAAGAGGTGCTCAGAGTGATGGCCATTAGCTTCCAGACATTTATTAGTAGGATGGCCTGCTGAAGCGTACATATGTTTCTGGGGCAGGCTGTATATTGAGACAACGAAACACTATTCAGTAATAAAGAGGAATGAATTAGCCATACATGCTGCATTAGGTAAATCTCAAAATAATTATGCTGAGTGAAAGAAGCCAGACCCAAAAAAAGTACATGTAGCCTGATTCTTTTCTCATAAATTCTTATAACTGCAAACTTACATGTAGTGCCTGAGAGCAGGTACAGGACACAGTTGTTTAAGGCAAAAGTGAGAGGAAGGGATCACCAAGGGATGTTTGAAAGCTTTGGAGGATGATGACTATATCAGTCATCTCAACTATAATGAATGGGTATATACAGATGCCAAAAGTGTTGAAATTGTACAAATCAAATATATGCGTTTACTATATGTCTATCAGTAACAAAAAGTTGTGACAGGAGGGAAAAAATCTTGAAAGGTCTCTCATTGGCTACACTATGGCAACTGATCATTAAAATTATGATAAAAAATTAAAATAAACAAATCAAGATAGTAACAGATTATCACTCATGGGATAGAGTACGTATGTACGTATTGACACACAAAAACAAATAAAGGAGTGTTGCCTCCCTCAGCAGAATGCCAGCTAAAAGATGCAGAAGGAATGATGGAATTCTTTGCAACTACCCTGATGATAAATAACGTGACTAAGAACCATCAATGAGTAATAAAAATAGAAAACGAACATTTGATGGTGCACTGGACCTTTTTTTTTCATCTCAAAGTACTTCTGCAGAAGATATTTAATTACAAGGTAAAAAACAGTAACTTTATAGAACAAGAAACACAACAGACACCCCTTGAACCAAATGACCAGAGATATTACCAGTAACAGAACAAACAGAAACCATGTGTCTCCAGACACATGCCACTGTGAATATAGAATCATTTCCATGGTATTCCTGATCAGCTTACCAAGCACAATGTAGGTCACTGGCTACCATGACTATCCTTCTTGCTGTCACCCAAGATTTATATAAAGTATCTTTTCAAATTAGCAGCAGCACTCATGAGCAATTTGCTCAAAATTTTTGAACTATTGCTTGAACTTTTATGATTTTGTCTCCCAATTTAGAAATGCCCACCTGCCTACTATGTGTGTGTTTAAGTGGCTCTGTGTACTGTGAAGAAATTGATATTGACACTGTACCCCCCTTGCCAAAGGAATCCGCCTATCTTTACGCACGATTCAACAAAATTAAAAAGCTGACTGCTAAAGATTTTGCAGACATACGTAAGTTCAATTTAAATAAGATATATATAACCACAAGTTCCTACATACTTGCAGCCTACTATACCCCTGGGGTATCACTGTTGGAGTATTTAGGTGTCTACATACTTCAGAAAAAAAAATTCATTGCTTTGCGGGTAAATCTCCAGACTTCCTTGTCACTTTTCTTTAGCAGTGACTTTGGTATCTATGTTGATAGGCCATTTAACCTAAAGACAATTGAATCTTCTAAAGCACAATACTTCAAGATCTACTAAGCATTTGATAGTAAGCGGCACCAGTATAACAAAGATGCATCTTAAACTATAAGCATTTTATTTTCTACCTTCTTTATAAAAGCAACTTCTTTTCTGTAACTCGTGGCTCTTAAACTGACCACATATTAAAAATATCTGAGCCAATATTTTTGAAAGCTGATACCAGACTGTATTCCCCAGGTGCTCCAATTCAGGTCACCATTAAAACCAAGCAAACTCCTGGGATGATTCTAGTGCAGAAATGGTGTTCAGAGGAGTGGCATTTCAATGCATCCCCGGTCAGTAACGACTGGTTTCCTATCAGAACTTAGCCATGGTACTGCCACCAGCACTGCAGTACCCCCTTGCTTCTGCAGTACTAAGGCCAGACCCAGATCACTAATTTATTGTCAGCTTTCTAGACTTCTGGATTGTCAAGTATTCTGGAGAGATTGCACCTAGAGAGGCACACTGGGCTCACTACACATTTCTGAATTTAAGTATAATTAGATTCATAATGTCAAGAGCACCCAACTGTACAATTGATCCTCATTTTTGGTAGAATCTGTATTTTCAAACTCGCTAAAATCTGTTTGTAACCCCAAAATCAATACACACAGTATTTCTGTGATCATTACGGGACAAGCACGGAACATTTTTAGATACTTACAATGTACATTTCCAACTGAGGTTAATATGGTTAACTCTCTGCTAGTTTCAGCTTTCACGCTGTAAATTAGTACTCTGTTGAGAGTATTTAGTACTGCTTTGGTTTGGTTTTTTGTTGAGTGTTTTGCTACTGAAAATAGCACTAGTGTTAAAGTGTTATCTAGTGTTTCTAAGTGCAAGGAAATTTGTGCTATGCCTTATAGAGAAAATACACGTGTTAGACAAGTTTCATTCAGGCGTAAGTCATACAGCAGTGTTAACGACTCAACAACGTATGTTAACTAAGTTGTTTTTAAACAAAAACACAACACACAAAGGTTTGTATTAACTGGCTGACAAAAATGACTGTTTGAATAGAGGTTCAGGGAAACCTAACCCTTTAATTCCCCCAGGAGCAAGAGCTCAGCGTGCACTAATTCAGTGTTGCTGCAAGGTTAATAGGAAATGACTGCTGTCAATGAGAAGCAACAGTAGAATCACACCAGACACAAGGAGTACTACGTGCATGCACACGCTAAATTTCTCAAGCTCTCAGGCCACTTGACCTTAATGATCAGGGCACACTCCTGTCTGCTATTGTTAAGCAACAAAGCTAGAGAGGTTAACACCCACCATTATGATGCTTCATGCTAGCAGAAAATATTAATTACCTGCTTCCATTCACTCAAATATAATGCTTACTTTCTATGATTCATAATAAGAATTTCTTTCAAATTACCTGTATATCCTGAGGAATTCAGAGAAGGACGGAAAGACTAAGAATGTGAAGCTACCTTCCAAACTTGAAAACTAAGAATTCAGTTAGAAAAGGTATCACTGTCAGGCACATGGAGATGCTTAGGGTCCAGCAAATTTACTCTGATGGGCCTGGGGACCTAGTGCAGTGTAGTGAGCTTGCCTGGCAGAGGCAAGGCCCTAGTTCAGTTCCCAGCACTGCCAACCACAAACACCGCAGATGTGCTAACTGCAGACACTCCACGATTAGAGACACGTGAGTCATCTGCTAAATGAGTGCTTGTGCTCAGCCTGCATGGTGAGAGTCTACCTGCACACTTTAACACAAATGTACTATCTTTATTACTCTGTGTTTGCAACACGTGATGCTGACATTCTTTGTAGGTAGCTGGTGCATGTACATGACGCATCTTAATTCTTTTTACCTTCTTCCTACATACTGTTTTGTGTATTTCCCCCACTCAAGCTAACTTAAGAAGACTTGATTTTACTGGAAATTTGATAGAAGAGATAGAAGATGGTACTTTTTCAAAACTTTCTCTGTTAGAAGAACTTTCACTTGCTGAAAATCAACTACTGAAACTTCCAGCTCTTCCTCCAAAGCTCATTCTATTTAATGCAAAACACAACAAAATCAAGAGTAGAGGAATCAAAGCAAGTACATTCAAAGTAAGTATTGTATAGTATGACTGAACACAGTCTGAGTCAGGGATTATACAAGAGAGAGGCTCTGGCCTGTTAACTATGCTTTCATCATGGTGTGTTTTGTTTCTTGAGACACAATCTCATTGTACTGTTCAGGCTGGTTTTCAAAGCCTGAGCTTAAATGATCCTCCTACCTCAGCCTTCTGACTAGCTGGGACAACAAGTATGCAACACAACAGCTAGTTTTTATTTTTATTAATTGGAAAATTATTTTGATATACTAAAACCTTACTTTCATAATAAAGTTATTGTTAGATTCATTCAGCCTATCTTATGCATGTACCTCCCTTACAACCCAAGACCTTTATTTTTGTTCATGACAGTATAGAAAAGAATTAGCAAAATCTAGCACCTTGTTTGCGCTTCAAAGTTAAGGTTAAAAGAGAAATCCCAGAGCAAACTGCACTCTGAAATTATGGTATATAATCATCTGCAATAATGAGTTACTGATCTGAAGAGCAAACCAACATAAAGCCCTTATGGGATAAGCTACATCGAGCTACATGGTTTAATAAACTGCTTCAAAAGACATCATGCTAAGCTCACTACTTATGAAGCTAAAACCAGCAGCCAAAGCAAAAAACTACCATACTAACAAGTGATACTACTGATAACTGTTTAAACAATATTCTTTTTTTGTTTTATGTTGTTTGAATCTTGTGAAAGAATGTAGACTTCAGTAACACTGAAACCAAATTTTCTTTGCAGAAATTGAATAAGCTCTCTTTCCTCTACTTGGACCACAATGCCCTGGAATCTGTGCCTCCTAACTTACCAGAAAGTCTGCGTATAATTCATCTGCAGGTATGATTGCTCTTTCAACAATACCTGGTTTTAATTACCTATGAGTCATTCTCATGAATGGTTGGGAAACTCATTCTTTCACATGTAAATCATGGTTAGATCATTAGTAGTATGACAATGCCTATCAGAAGTATTAATATCTAGCTGGGCATTGGTGATACATGCCTATAATCCCAGCTACTCAGGAGGCTGAGGCAGAAGAACTGCAATTTTGAGTCCTAAGCAACTTAGCAAGACCTTGTTTCAAGATAGACAGACACAGACAGACAGACAGCTAACTGAGGATATACCTAAGAGATTCTGGATTTAATCCCCAGAACTGCCAAGAGAGAGAGAGAGAGAGAGAGAGAGAGAGAGAGAGAGAGAGAGAGAGAGAGAGAGAGAGAGAGAAGAAGAAGAAGAAGAAGAAGAAGAAGAAGAAGAAGAAGAAGAAGAAGAAGAAGAAGAAGAGGAGGAGGAGGAGGAGGAGGAGGAGGAGGAGGAGGAGGAGGAGAGGGAGGGAGGGAAGGGGAGAGAGGGAGAGGGAGAGAGAGAGAGAGAGAGAGAGAGAGAGAGAGAGAAGCTTCCAGTATCAGTAAGGAGCCTTGGTATGAAGTTTGTGTCTGAGCAGGCTCCAGAAGTACACACGGAACCTCCTAACAGTCTTAACACATGGATTAGAATGGAGGATGTGCTCAGGCCTCCGATTTATGTCTGTTTCCATATAGTGGCCAACATATGCTTTTGGGGACTTTCTAGGTGGTTTTATAGTGCAACATCAATTTGGAAATGCAAAAATGAAGGAAGAATGAAAATAAACTAAAATTGATCTTTTAGCATCATAAGATTCCATCTTCTCATCTCTTCTCTTTTGTGGTGATGTGTTAAACCCATGCTTTTGCACTGAACTTCATCTCCAGCTCAGGCTGGGCTTGAACTTGCACTTCTCCTACCTCAGCCTCCCAGAGTGCCAGGATTACAGGTATAAGCCACGAAGTCAGGCTTTTTACTTTTTCAGAGAATATTCTAGGGTGCAGTACCCAGTATGAGTTTACACTCTAGGATAGAATATTTTCTTCAGCTATCCCGGATAATCTTGTTTATATTTAGAACTTTGTCCTACGTGGATATTATTCCAAATAATAGCAAGTAATCTTCCAAAATAACACTACACACTTAAAGTGATAAGGCTGCACAGAAAGGATTTAGTTACTAGGATACATTGTATGTACAATTATCTTTAAAGTACTTTTCAGATAAGATATTCTGTGGAATCCCACTATGTAGCATACAATAGATTGATTTTAGACTTTTAAACAATGTTTTTTCTTTTTCTTTTTCAGTTTAATAACATAACTTCAATTACAGATGATACATTCTGCAAGTCTAATGACACCCGTTATATTCGGGACCGTGTAGAAGAGATTCGTCTGGAGGGCAATCCAATCGACCTGGGAAAGCATCCAAACAGTTTCATTTGCTTAAAAAGATTACCCATAGGGTCTTACTTCTAACCACTGTCAATACAGTGTACAAGCAAAAGTACCTATTAATACCTATTAATCTGTCTCAACAATGTATAAAGGAATATCCATACTGGTTTAACATTAACCTTGTATCCCATTATGAAGGAATTATACATTTTAAGCAAAGATGTGCCAAAATCTTACTGCAAGCAGACTGAATTTCTAAGTCAAAAACAAAATAATGTGAAAAAATTTTAAAAGCAGTAAAAAAAATCTTTGTAGTTTATATTAGAGTACCATTTAAAAGGCATGTCTTAGTATAAATACAACATTTGAGACACATTATTCTCATTACTAATGAATTAAGTAAAGTCTAAGAAACTTGCAATTGTTTGTCTTTCCTGACCTTTACTGTACCTCTTTAGGGAAGCTGTTCCAAAAGTTCTGAAAAACTAAATATTTCCAGCGATCACCCATGTTTCTTAGACGATTCATACCACACACTATGAAGCTAGAACTCTGTTTTCTTCCTATGAAGGCAGCTATCTTAGTGTATTTTCACTTAGCCTGAGAAATTGGGCATGGTCCCATGTTTAGGAAAAAATTTTCAAATAAAGTACAGTTTTACTCTCTGATAAACTGCTTAAATACAAATGTTCAATTTTCTGTTGTGTGGTCACATAATCTTTAGTAAAATAATAAAATTTTCTTTAATCTAGATATTAGTTTTCTAAATCTATTATAAAGCATTTTTAAAAGGCAAGTAGGTCCAAATCAGTAAGCTTATAACAAACAAAACACCCAGAAGTCTAGCTATTTCTCAGAGAACAGTAATAAGGCTCCTCTACTGTAAAGATTTTCAAATATGAAGGAACCACAAAGAATTTTCTTTTTACATGACAGGAACAGGCATCTCAACAATGAATTTGTTCAAACCTAAGAAATGAAAATAAAAAGTGTCTTTTGCAGAGTCACCAGCTTCCCGGCTGCCCACCCACATGTATGTTCACCAAAACAAAATACAGATTCACAGCAAAGCTTTGGGCAACATTTCCAACACCCACAATGAACACCCACATAGAACATTGAATGTATGTAACCTTCAATTTGACACTGAAAATTTATGATAACACAAGGCTGCCAGACTAAGGTTCTTAAACTAAAATTCTTTCCTATATTCCACTCAAGTGTCTTAGTCTACACATGGCTTTGGAATTAAACTTAAGATTATTAGCTTTAGAAACACGATTATGACACGTGTATATCAAAATACTAATGTCATTTCTATTATACATTATACATGGGAATCAACTTGGTCTCTATTATACACTAACATCAGAGCCCATATTCAATCCTATTTTTAAGTATTTCTTTGTTTTTTACCTTCTCTAAAATGAACCCCCATTTGTCAATGTTGACCCCAAGATCAAACTTTTCCATTTAAGCATCTGTGTCCTCTTAAGGTCACAATTATTATCCTAATATTGTTTATTAACTTGCTCACTTATTTTGGTAGTTGATCATAATTACTACGCTGCTTTCATATTTGTATGTATGTCTCATTTCTTTGTGACTGAAAGCTGAGGGCACACACACAGCCTTGTTTTTATACTTTTATGGTGTCTAGCACAACGGTGAGCACATTTTAATTAAATACACAATAAATGTAAAACCTAGGGGCTGGAGGTTTAGCTCAGGGGCATAAGCACCTGCCTTGCAAGCAGGCGGTCATGAGTTCAATCCCCGGTACCGATAAAAATGAAAAAGACAAAAAAAAAAAAAAAAGTAAAACCTATCCATTTGGAAAAAATTGGAATCTTTAAATTATCATAGCTTGAATGAAGCAATGGAAACAAACTGTCACTTTATCTGGAAATACGTACCTGATAAAGGTGGAAGCCATGGTAAGACTGAGACTACAGAAAGTGGTTAGAGCTATTAAATTTCTAGTTTTCAGAACAAAAATGTACTCAGGTATTCTTTTAATAATAAAACTTACTGGAAAAAACAACATAAAATAATGCTCATATTTTTTAAAAAGCCTGTAGTTGAGATAAAATAATAATTGGGGAGAAAGAACATAGGGAAAAAGTCTGAATTACAAAATTTTCTTAGAGAAATAATTTTGGGTCTTCTAGGTGTAAAGACATGAATATAGGCAGCATACATCTTCACCTTGATACTCTTAAGTTGGAAATAAAATACACAATACAAAGTATACAGATCCAAAAGGTAACAAAGAAATTAATGGGAAAAAATAAAACTACTCTGACTTGCTTATAATATATAGATATTTCATGCTTGACAATAATTAAGGAATTACAGGCTTAAAAGTTATTTACGTGCTCACTTCGGTAGCACATATACTAAAATTGGAATGATACAGAGAAGATTAGCATGGCCCCTGTGCAAGGATAACATGTAAAAATGATTTACTCCTTACAAACTCCACTGAAAGAAACTGAAGGAGAAATATCCTGTGTTCGTGGATTGGAAGATTTGCTAGTAAGACAACAAAACAAGCTCCAGATTCACTCCAGTCTGTATGAAGATCCCAGGAATGTTTTTGCGGAAATAGAAAAATCCACTTTAAAATTCATACAGACTCTCAAGTGACCGCAAATAAATGAAAGAATATTGAAAAGAAGAACAAAGAAAAACTCACAAATCCTTAATTTCAAAACTTACTAACGCTATCGTAATCAAAGCAGTGTGGTACTGCCATAAATGCAAGAATAGACTAAAGAACCCAGAAATAAATCCGTGATGTATCTATCATATGGTCAAATGATTTTCAACCCAAGTACTGAGAGCATGTAATGGGGAAAGGACAGTCTCAACAAACAGTGCTGGAAACACAGGACATACATGTGCAAAACAGTGGTGTCTCAGTTACTTTCCTCACTGCTGAGACAAAATACCCAACACTCAAAGTTAAAAAGGGGAAGTTTATTTCGACTCACAGTTTGCAGAGGTTTCAGTCCATAAGCAGCTGACTCCAAGGCAAGTACTGGAGACCAGAAGACAGGTAGCAGCAACAATAAGCAGCAAACAACATGCAACTGTGAGCCTTTTTCTGTCCTTTACTGCTTATCCAGCCCATTCACCATTACAGCAGAGCACTCACGCCAAGGCTGGGGCACTCTTAATCCTGCTCAGTACCACACCAAACCAGCCAGTGGACAGATTTAGTAATCACCCTGGACCCCAGAACCACATACTCCAGACCCAGCCACCTTCAAAAGCCCCCACCTACTGACTGCATGAGGCCTTGCAGAGACATCTAGACACAAATCCTAACTAATGGTACTTGAGCTTCACACCACCTCCAAAAACTAACTCCAGATGGACCACATAGCTAATCCTGGCCAGGTGTGTCGGTACAGGCCTGCAGTACTATCACTCTGGAAGACTGAGGCAGGAGGATTACAAGTTCAAACTGAGTATGGGCAATTTAGCAAGACTCTGTCTCAAAATAATAATTAGAAAAAAAAAAAAAGGTAGGGATATACTTAGTGCTAAAGACCTGGGTTCGATCCCCAGTACTACAAAACAAAACAACAACAAAAACCTGGCCTTAAGCACTAAATGACAAAATTCTTACCAAAAGGAGAAAATTCTTTTTGAGAATGAATTTGGTAAGAATTTCTTGAATCAGACACCAAAAACAGATAACAAGAATAAAAATAAATAGAATTTTATCAAAATTTTCTGTATTAAAAGATACTACCGAGAGAATGAAATGACAGAGAAAGTATTTGCATGTCATATACTTAATGAGTTAATATCTACACTATATAAAGAGTTCTTACAATTCAAGAAAAAGCAATGCAGTTGAAACATACATGAGTCTTACATTCACCACAGAGATGCTAGTGGTCAGTGAGCACGTGGAAAGATGCTCAGCCCTGCTAGTTACCTGGAAGACACAAACCAGAACTGGAGTGAGGTATCACTTTCTGCCTACAGGACTGATTTTTACTAAACAACAGCAAAAATTACATTGGAGAGGCTGTGGAGAAACCAGACCTCTTGTGCTTTGCTGGAAGGGATGGAGAATGGTATAGCTGCTGTGAAGATCGGTGTATGATTTTCTAAAAATTAAACTTAGAACTATTTCTTGATCCAACAAACGCCCTTCCTAACACATACTTGAGAGTCGAAAGCAAAGACATGAAAAGATAGTGGCACACTTGTGGTCACAGCAGTGCTATTCACACAGTGAAGAGGAAACGACAACCCAAGGCCCACCAGCAGGAGTGGGTAAGCAAAACACAATACAACAACGTCAGTATTATCCAGCCTTAAAAAGGAACCGAACCCTGAGGATGTTATCATCAGTGAAATAATCCAGACAAAAGGACATTCCACATATATGAAGTACTTAGAACAGTCAAATTTACAGAAATGAAAAAATCAAGTAGTATTTACTGAGCAAGGAGGAAACAAATACAGAGTTTAATTTGGGATCATGAAAAAATACAGAAAATGGTTACAAACAAATGTGACTGTATCTCTCCATTCTAGTAACGTTACCACCAGCAAAGTCCAGCTCACAGAGTGCTCTATTTCCTTTAAACACCAATTACTTCTCCACCTGCAAAGCCAGCATGTAGAGCAGAGATGGTGAACCTTTCAGAGCTTTCATGGTAACAAGCAGCTTGCTCAGACATGCATGGCTTACATTTGCCACAAACCAGCTTTGCAAATGGGGATTGGAGGTCACAAAAACCAGTAGCCACTCAAACGCATAAAGAAATATTCAGAGTCGAACGTCAAGTAATTCATTACCATCACTGCCAGCACAGTTGGCAATCACTGCTTTATCATTTGTGAAGCAAAGATACTTCATTGTCCTGGCCTAAGACTATATGCAAGAAAATACAGCAAAATCACAGGAACTCTTTAAGGGACATGGGAACCACTCTATTTCATTCTGCAGAAAATTCTACTATTTTATTAGCTTAGTCAAACAGGATTTAAGTATAATAATAATAAAAAAGAATATAACCCAAATAAAGGAGGCCTATAAACCAGCCTAAAAACAAGAGTGTGACCCGGTTAGGTTTTGAGAGAATCTAAACCTTGAAATATTATTTATTAATTCTTCCACAACCAGTCTTTGTGTGGCCCACAACAGTCAATAATTTAATTTCATACCACCGTGCAGGAGTGGAGGGGTTAAACACAATCATAGTTACGATCCAAGACAAAAAGAAGTGCTTTAAAGTACCTTTATCAGACCAATAATCGATCAGGCTTTGATATTTAAACTCAAAATATGCAAAATCAAGATACATACTTTGCTCAGAAAGTTAAACACACACTGCTTTATAGTAAGCCTGTTTTACTTACATTTTTATTAGCATTTATTATTATACATCAATAACGCTTGAAAGATTTACTTTTTAAAATGTAGATTTTAAAATGAATTAGACCATAACTATATTTAATTCAAAATATTTTATAAAATACTGACTTATACAGAAACTTCTCCTCCAGTGGTCACAAATAATTAAAAAATCCTGAAGTCAATGAAAACGTTTTCCCTCCTCCAAAAACTTTAAGAAAAGCACACTAAATAACACCAGCTGCATATTCTATATAAACTTAAATTTAGACTTTGGACCTTACCTTGAAATGTGTAAATGTGCGCTTACGATATTCACACCACTTCACAAAAAAATGTAGGCCTCGGAAAAACATGAATAAATCTCTTCTTTCTTCTGCTCTGTAGGAATAAGAATCTATGATTAATAAATGTCATTAAATACACACCAAATCTGACTTTCTTTTCATATGTTCTACACTAACATTTAGAAAGTACTTAATACACTTCTCTATACTGAATGGGACAGTTCTGTATGTGATTTCACTGTGTAAAAGCTGTGTTCACTGCTAATGCTACCGCACTAGCTTGAAATGCCCTTTTCCAATGTTTAAACCTGTCTACAACTTTCAAATCACTGAAACGCCACATTTGCCATAAAATCGTATTTAATGAGTGCGGTTTAACAGTGAACGTGTACATGGGCCACTTCCTGATACAGACTTCAGTCCTGTAGAAGAAGCGTCTCTTACATTAATGAAGTGACTCAGATGGACCTTAAGATAGCATCAGGCTGGGAGCTGCTTACTGGAAAGCCTATCACATCGGTAAGCGGTTGGAACTTTGGGCGAGCAGACATCGGAATGGACAGAGACAGAGTGATTTAGCCAACCATGCCCATGTAGTAAGACCTCACGAAAAGCTCTGGTGTTCAGTGGAGATTTCTGGCTGGTGACCACGACGATTTGTTGAGAGGGTAATGTGATAGAATTCACAAGAAAGCTGTGTATCCCCCACCGCCAAAGGCCCCAGATCTTACTCTATGTGTTGCTTCCATTTGGCTGTTTCTGGGTTTTACCTTTTACAGTAAAATGGCAATTGTTAAGTAGTTCTCTAAGTGGTTCCAGCAATTACTGAACTTGCAAGGCTCACAGTAACTCCTTATAGCCTGTAAGTACAGGTGTGGATGAGCACAGACTCTTCTAGCTGGGTCTGAAGGGAGGCAGTGAGGGGTGGGAGTTGTTTATAACCCACAGGGTTTGTTAAGAACTAAACTGAAGGACACCTGATTGCTGTCAGAACGACTTTACCACCACACACATATCCTGTGTCTCCAACAGCTATAAATAATTTCATTCCCTTACCTGAGTTCTCATAAATCTATTTATCTTAATTCTCTTAATAGTATACTTAGTGTATCACTCAGCTGCATAAACTTATGCGCCACTTGGGTTCCAGTTCCATGATCTCACCTAATCATTCACTTGTGCTGTAGGTGTTCAGTCTCTTCTAGCCACTGTGGAGTATACACATTCAAACCAAATGCTCCCATTAATTACAACTTAATGCACTGGATACAACACAAAAATCAAAAAGCACAAAAATCGGAAAATCTGAAATGCCAAGAGAAGAAAGATAGTCTACAGGTAGACTTGGCAGTGAATTTCTTGGAGTTTACTACTGTCTCTAGTGTATCACAGTCAGGACACCAGCAACTGACAAGCCACAACTACTGTAATGTGTAGACAAAACCAATCAAACAAAAATGGCCAGGGGATGACCGCTCCCTTTAGCCAGCAGAGGTCACAGAAGATGAGAAGGAAGGTTGCTGCTGAACAGAACCTTCTTGTCAAAGAAGGCTACACCCCTTTCACTGCCCACCAGGCACCAAGGCCACTGAGTAGAATGCCAAGCTTGTCAACCAGCACTGCCACCTGGTGTTCAACACCAACAAAACCAGACAAAATGTTGTCTTCTGTTCCTCCCAGTGAGGTGCTGTGCTGGGAAGACTGGAGGGAGCTGTTTCAGCCTAACCCACTAGACACCAATCAAGATGCAAAGGAAGGATGCTGTTCCCTTCCGCTCTAGTGTGGCTGCTACACACAGGTGGACACTCGGTCACTCTTCCACCCCTCACATGAAGCAGAGGAGGGAAGAAGTAGAAAGGAAGAACCTAGAGAAAGGGATCCACTATATGTGTTAATGAAGCCCTTGGATCACTACCACAGGCTCATACACAAAACTGACCAGGATCTATAAAGCAAAAGTACTTGAACTATGGCATGAAAAGCCATGCAGAATTCCGATTGCACTTGAGGTGGTACATAGTAGAACAGACAGAAATAAGACAAGGCCAGCCTGAGCTGCAGAGCAAAACCCCATCTCAAAAAGATATGGAAAAAAATGTAGCTCTGACAGAGTAATGGGAACCTTGTCCCCAAATAAACTGGATTTACTTCTTTTGTCTGTGGTTCGTGGCAGATTAATTCAAGAAGCCTATGTTTTACCACCTCAGAACTTTTCTGCAGTTTAGATACATAAAGGACCTTTTGCAAAAACACCAAAAGGCAAATGAACAAGCGACTGCTACCCAGGGCAAAGTATCACTGAATACAACAACAAGCATGCTGGAAGTCAAGGGAGAAAAGAGCAGGAAGTGAGCATATTTGAGGAGGAGGACTCTGTCTACAGGATGCACGCTCAGAACAGCACGCTCAGAACAGACTGTAAGCTTTCAGCTCTGTGGATCTTTGGGCAGGGACAGGACAAGGAAGGGCCATGAGAGATGTGGCTGAGCAATGAAGCAGTATTCCAGAGCAGAGCTAAATCAAAGACTTCGAGATCATTCATACACGCGTGCATGCATATTCATGAACCAAAGTACCACTGTACTGTGTATATATTTTTTAGCATATATATATATTAGCATATATATATATTTTTTACATATTTTTCTTTTCACACATAATAACATCCAAAATAGCCAATAAACAAGAAAGAAACTAAGTATGCAAAGAATCAAGAAAGTATACACCATTCACAGGAAAAAAGAAATTTATAAAAACTTTTGTTCAAGAACCGCAAAGTAAAATTACTAAGCAAAGATGTTAAATTTCTACTGAAAGAAGAATAATATGTTCCATAAACAGAGAATAGCAACATAGAGATAAATAGTAAGAAAGAAATAGAGACTTTAGGCCTGAAATGTACAAAAGCAAAAACGAAAAACTCTCTAAAAGTCTTCAACAGCAGATTTGCACACGCATAAGATTCACCAAAATAAATATAAATCAAGTGAAACAGATTAAAATTACTAAAGTAAATTATTAAGTTTAAGAGAAAAAAAGAACACAAAGCCAGTAGAGCCTAAGAGACCCTTGGGACACCAAAGGAGCACAAATCCTTGTAAGGATTGTTAATCATCAAAAATGGGAATGAATAGCCCCATAGCTATACTACACCAGTATCTACACATGTACCCTCATAGTGGAGAATGGGTATCTTTTATGCATGACGCTCAAATGCCTACTAAAAAATATGGAAGAAGTGTTACTGAATTGAAAAGTTATCATTTTGCAATCACCATAGCAAAGACCAGATCAAACAAGAATCACTAGGGGATCCTAAATGAAAGAAGAAATTTCAACAGAGTAGTAACTGCAGGGTCAAAACTTGTGTCCCTATAGAATGCATTTTAGTTATAAGGGAGGAAGAGACAGGACTCCTACACAATGGAGAAATTGGGCAGATTTCATTGGTCAAAATTACTTATCACCAATGGGGAGTGTTAGGACCTCTTACAATTGCATACATACAATTGCATAATTACAACTGTCATCATAGAGGGAGTAAAACTGATTATAACAATTGTGACATCTTGATTGAGGTACTACAACTAGCAATAACAAACTCAAGCACAACCCGCCCACCACTTTAAGGCATTAGTGTCCTTGAGGGAGCAGAGCACAGTGCTTCAGAATCAATGATGTTTTGGGGAAAAAAAATTTTGAGGAAATTGGACTTATTCATTTTAATAAAGCAATATTAGCCTTTTTTGACGTTAAAAAAATTATCACCTATGAAGGACAGGTATGTTGAGGACAATACATCGTCTACACAGTGTTTTACTCAACAGTGAATATCATTTGGTTACAAAGAAAAAAATCAGAACACGATGAGGAACATTCAATTGGTAAAACAACAAAAAATAAATAAATAAAAAGAACTAGTTTTTCAATAAAGGCCAGGCCAAGCCAGATACAGTGCACACACCTATGAATCCAGCTACACAGAAAGGTCCCAAATCTAAGAAGAGATTGGGCAACTTAATGAGACCCTGTCAGAGCAAAGAATCAAACTGGGTGGGGATGTAACCTAGCGCAGTGGTAGGACGCCCCTGGGTTCAGTCCACAGCATCATGAGGGAGAAAAAAAGTCAGCTTGAAAAACAGCAAAGAAAGGCTTTAATTTTTTTTTTTTTCCAAATTAAAGGAAGATAAAGAGACATGACAGGCAAATACAGCACTCAGCCGTAGACTGGATCATGTACCCTGGGGGAAGGAGCTGCAAGAAAGGACGTCATGAGAGCAACCAACACAACTGGAATACGAATGGTACGCAATAAAAATATACCAGTATCAGTTTGTGAAACTGATCAGTGCACTAGGACTACAGAAGGAATATGTTTACACTATAAAATGCAGGGCTAGAGTTGTAGCTCAGTTGTAGAGCACTTGACTTGCATGTGTAAGGTCCTGGGTCTGATCCCCAGCACTATGGAGGGAAGGAAGGAAGGAAGGAAGAAAAAGAAACCCACTGAAATATGAAGGGAAGGAGAACTAGGACAGTCTGTATGTTCTGAAATGATTCCATCAGGAAAAGCAACAAAGTAATTAGCCTTCTCTTAAGTTATTTAAATGATATATAATGGCTGAGAGTAAAAAAATCATAATGTCACCTAATGCAATGTATATATGTGAACTCATTAAAACTACAGCATGAGGCAGGGGCAGGAACAGATCTGTGATACGACTTCTAGACAATTCTTGCTGCCACAAAGCATTAAAACTAGACAGACTACTAAAAGACTGATTTTGTGTACATATACTGCAATCCTACAGCAGCCAATAAACAGTAATGTAAAACAGAGCCCACAAGTGAATAAATTAATGTGGAATAGCAAAAATGCCTAAATGACTTTGAAAAGATGGTAGAGTAAGCAGCACCAGAATTCCGTGGCCCTACCCAGACACAGGCAACGGCAGCCTGTCTGAGGCGAGCGCTGGAATTCTGTAGCCTACCCACGGCCTGCAATGCCCAGGGAAAGTTTAGACAGGAAGATGGGCTAATTTCTGTCAAATACTGACGTAAGTACAGTAGAAGTCAAGAGTTTTTCTCTCAGCA